AAGGCCATATGGCTTCCGAATATGGTGGGCGCACTGGTTTGATTGTATCGCCGTTTTTTGCTAATCACCACCCACCATCACAAATTTTTAAACTTTACCCTGCGTTCTTCAAATGCCTTTGACTAAGTCATCTGCTAATGACGAAAAATGTAAACAATGACGTCAGCTAGTACATAACAGGATGAGGCATCCAGTTGTCTATTTACTAGAGTGGAAGCCTGCATAACAGGCGCTTAATGAGCCAAGCGAGGCGAACGCGGCATTTTGAGCGAAGCGCGAAACGAGCGCGGGAAGGAGTTTGTTTTTCTCATGCTCTCGTCTCGTCCCATGCCATTCCTGTGATTCTGGACTCCAAGTACTGGATTCGGGATTCCTTGTCTCCGCATTCTAATCATTAGCGGGATTCCAGATTTCACAAGCAGAAACATCCCGGATTTCGCACTTCGCAAAGAAAAATTTCTCGTATTCCGGAATCCAGATTACCTTACATGTAAAAAGGGTGAAACTCCCAATGAGATAGTTCCCAACTCAGGGGTTCGCCGCCTTTAATCTCAGGAATTAAAATCGTACAGGCTTTACTTTCGCAGAGGAAAAGTACATAAACACAAACATCAGCACTTTGACATTGTTCAGCAGAAGAAGTAGGTGGAGTTAAGAACTTCTTCTATGTCAAAGTCTCCTAAAAATAAATGAAAAGGAGAGAAAACGCTGTTTAGGTTACATGTACTCAGTACATGTAAGCTACAAGTAGTTTCATTAAGGACTGTTCAGGCGGCTTCTAGTGTATTCTCTTGCATTTCACTGAAAGTATGAGCGTCTCTATTTTGTTTATCGTGCAGTGTCATCTTCAGCACCTTGTCAGCGGCTGTCCTAAAAAGTGCAGGACGCGCGAGAAAGAGATACTCGGGCGATCAAATCTTTTGAGTCATACAGCCTTATTAAAAACACGCTACCTACGATGCCAGCAATAAAAAAAAGCAAATAAACATATAATGAAGAATACGGAATGAAGGAATAGAAACCAGACTTACATGAACGACTTAACCGATATATGAATATGACAGCACAGCTAACTCGATACGCTGTGAACCAGACGTTTTTTAATCTGGACCAGAGAACCATCGCTTTGATAGCGCCGAGCCAATTACATTCCTGCTTATACGAAAACATCCAGGGGTCAATTTAATATAACTTTTACACTTGTAATTTACAAGTGTAGCTATTGTTCAAGAGTCTGAAAACATTAGCTACACTTGTAAATTACACTTGTAAAAGTTTCAGTAAAGTGACCCCAGAAGCTGGATGTATAAAGCGCTGTGATTGGGTTACAATCAGAATAAGTGGTTCGGCTTCGCTGCTCGTGGCTTCGGCCTACGGCCGACTAGCCTGCGTAGCAAGCGTTTCCGAGCGAGTTTGCGAGAAATTTGGGAAGAATGGCTACGCAGGCTAGCAGCCAACCAGAAGCACCTCGCCGCAAGCACCGCAAACGTCGCACACGAAAAAAAGGGCGGGTTCTCAGGGTATTTCCTCGTATTTTTAGGTGAAAGACATACCGTAATCAGGTCTTCCTTCGAATGTCACATGTGTTAGTTCCTTTCCACTCTCCTTTGATTTTAACGGACGAACTAACCTGCAAAAACGTCATATTGGAGAGTCGAACACAATCGTGTGTACTATTACCAGGAACAAAACAGCAGTGGAGTAGCCGTTACAACATAGATAGAATATTGGCGTAATCAAATAGACCACGTTCGATATATTGAAATTCTAACATGACTCCGAGGTTTTAGGGACAAAATTGCAAACTCCATTGTCTCACAATTCCCAGAAGAGACTTGGGCACAGAGAAAACCAAACCAAATATAGAAAAAAGACCAGAAAGCTTCAGAGTCATGTCAGAATCGTGGGCTATTCAATAGGCCATTTGCACGATGACATCATTTTAATACCACTAATAACAGCAAAATTCTTCAGTGTTTTGCTTTCTTCTGTGAATTAATACTTTTGTTGTTTTAATCCTCGGTGGGATTACCAAATTTAAATATGAAAGGAAAACGAAATGGATTCTGGTAGTGGTAATAAAATGACGCCACCGTGCAAATGGTCTAAAGCGAGAGTGCTTCATATTCCCACTGAGCACGCTCATGACGTCAATAACATCCGAGTTCTCGTGAGCTTAGCAAATCCTCCCAAGTGCATCCGCACCTCAATAGCACACGATGAAGAATTTACCATGTGTTTGCTAACGTAATCTAAAGAGAAAAACCTTTGAGTTTGTTAACAGATAGTAGAGGAATGAGGGTGTTAGTGCTGTGGCGTGTAAATTATTCTTTGCAGTCTTCTCTTCTTCGGCGAAATGTCGTTTTCAATCTCATTATGAATTCTAAAACCTTTCTAAATGTTTTTGGCTGCGCCTCGAGCAACCTTTACGCCTCTTTCCAACACTTCAAATTTCCCACGTGCTTCATATCATGACATCATCACGCTGACTCATTAAACGATTAATTGACTTACTTCAGGTCTGAGTAATTCTTGTGGAAATGTTCATGAAGTTCCTCCAGTATTGGCTCATTATGAAGCGCAACAAACTGTTCACGACAAATCTGAGTAAAGAGGAACCAAAGGATTGTTTGCTGCACCACACAAGATGCCAAAAACCACACAACGTACTAAATCGGTGAACAACGATGGAAGAAGCCCGCATTCAATAGTAATGCCATTGATATGGACCCTTAGGATTAATTTCCACTGTCGCGTAATTTTTCCGTGCGAGGTTTAACTTTTACCTTTACGCGTGACCTTCCATACATAGTCTCTATTTCATTTACGCACGTAAAAATTACGCGACAGTGGAAATCCAACTTTACTCTCAACTCTCACTCCCTAAGGGAGATAGGCTCGATTACCAGCTGCTGTTCGGGAAATGAGCCCGCGCTCCTTTTCGAAAAGACGTACGCCGGTATACGTATTGCTGCAGTTTTTTGGGGGCGAAGAGGCAAAACACAACATATGTTATTGGTGTCTAATGACATTTCCCATTTCCGGCGTTTCGTAACGATGCATAAACTAAATTTTGAATTACGTCACAGACACGATCGGCGACTCACGCGTCCAGCCATCTCTTCTCGGGAAGGAACACGACCGGACCCGAAAGACCGGCGGAAATCGAGCCTATGAGGGAGATTTAATTTCCATTAATGTAGACCTTTTAATCGGGAAGTTTGAGGTTTCCCCTTCAAATGTATGGTCTCAACAATCCCGATCAAACCCAATTAGGGATTCAGAAATCAGTAATGACGAAAACCCATAGACTAACAATACCTTCCTGAAGAGTACGTAGATCACCAGGAAGTGATCCGCAACCATCTGATGTTTTCTGCATTCAAACGCTCAGAACTTCCGTAGTAAAGCTCTCATAAATTTGGTAAATCAAAACTTAAAAATACACTGTTGCAGCATCAACAAAATTATAACATCAGTTTGAAGTAAACTCCATACATTTTTTAAATTTAATTCATCTGATTTGCGTCAGCCTCTATCCGTCCTTCGCCAAATCCCTTGTCTCCCACGACATACCCTGCGAGCGAAGGCCACTTTTTTGGAAGTAAAAATGCTTACAGGGTTCCCACCACCGGTCCCCATTAGCAGGGTAACCATCTTTTCCCGAGAATCTCACTTACTCGATTCATTACTCCCACATTGGCTGCATGTGTCCAGAAGCTGTCGTGTACCGACGAAAATGTCGCGCCAGATCGCTGACAAAATAGCGCGGTCAACATCATGTGAGTAGAGTCCAGCGAATGGACAAAGTTTGGCGGGAAGGCTCCACGCTGCTTTCTAGAGTCGGGTGGGACGTGGGGCAGACCTTTGGACTTAATTAACATCCATTGGAGCTTGGTGCGTACGACTTTTTGAGGAGGCTTCTTGGAGTACGGCTGACTGACATACAGACCAAGGGGTGTGTACCAGTCCACGTAATGACCAGACAAAGCGATCTGCGTGGCTGATGAGGCAAACCAATTCTGCAAGTGAGGAAAAAGTCATTACTAACTACCGTAAATGATCGATTAAGCGACATGGCGCTAATTTCATTTTACCTGTTATAGGTGCGACCCTTATACGAGAGCGGTGCCTATTTCAACCACGGGTAAAACACTGAGGGGAATATAGAAAGAATTGAGTGAGGCGCGTACTTGGAATGTATGATTTTGTACTAATAGTATAAAATAGTTACACCTCGAAGTGTTATATGAACCCGGTTTCAAGAGTTTACCTAAATTAAAACTTTAGAACTCACGACTTGGTCGAGGTCTTATTTCTCAAGCGATATCAAACGCCGTAGCAAAGGTGGGGCGTTAATTTGTAAATACCAAATTAGCGCCGCGGCGCTCAGTCGAGAGCGGCGCTTAATCGATCATTTACGGTACTCCCTCAAATGAGAAAAAAAAAGGAAATGAATAATTAAAGGTGGAGTTCCATATTGCACGTATTTGGCCGCCTCGGGGCTTTTTTTCCAATGGCCGCATATAAGAAGGGGGCCTGGTTAGAGGCTGATTCCGAGGCTGGGGGATGAATTTTCAAGGTTTATTACCAGAAATAAGTAACTGTCTCTACTTTATAACTTTTTTGACTGCAGTAGAAAAAATTACAAGGTTCAAAACTTTCAAACGAATTATTTCAAGGGGGTAGAATCTGTCAAATGAACATAAACCTTTCCCTTCCAAAAGTGGTCAAAGTCAAGCTTCAACAATATTTCTAATTTCCACTTAACACCAGGCCGAAAGGTAAATAGTACCATGCTATAGCATTGCTTAAGAGGTGTCATTTGAATGGTCACACAATAGGATTTCGTTCACGGATTCAAAAGTTAAAACCACCTTTCGGGACTCCACTGTCAGATTGAAAGGGTTCATCTTATGTACCGAGTTTAGCCCAGGGATGAGTTTAAACGTTGCTTGGGCGGGGGATGGGTAAGCGCTCGATGCCGATGATCTTACGAGCAAAAAAAGGGACTGTAAACAGACTAAAGATATTCCCTTCGTAACACTAAACACTCAATACACTATATGAAATTGCTGCCATAATATCGTGGGTGACAATGGGTACAGGGGGGGGAGGCAAATAATCAGAATTTGGACAAAACGCGCGTGAAATTATTCCCTAATTCCACTCGTCACCATTTGATTACACATACAAACCCTAATTGTATAATTACTATATAAACTTGTAGGGCTCACAAGAAACCTCTGATTCTATTTAATCGACTCACTTGGATGGCTCTTGCGGCAGTAAACATCTCCCCAATACTTGCGAAAACCTTGGTGACCAGGTATGTAGAAGCCTTAAAAATAACTTTGTCATTCATTTCCAAGTCTTTTAATTGGCGCTCAATCTGCAATCGGCCACCAACGAACGTGACGCCATAAACAATGGTCATAACCGTTTGTTTCACCACTTTACGAGTGACTTTTCCTTCAAGTTCTTTAGCAATTTCGTGACCAGCTTCAGCGTCACGCAACCGAGCAGCTTCGACAAGTTTAGCGACCTGAAGAGCAAGGTACAGAAAAAATAATACTAATGACTACAAAGTTTATCGTAGGTATTTATGATTTAGCTCTTCTCGTTCGAGAATTCCAACTAATCCTAGCCATCCTTGGCCTCATACACTTGCTCCAACATACCCCCGCCCCCCTCGCCCCACCTACCTCCCACTCCCATTCTTTTTAGTTCCATTGCACGTAATGCCATTTTTCCCACCCCAACTCCCCTCACCTCGCCTCTTCGCGCTCTGTTGCGCGTAAGGCCTCCACGTCTCTCCACCAGCCTGCCTGCCATCTTAAAGGTGTGTGTGGTCCTAGCTATCTATATGACATAGTTTTACGGGGTTGGGATATTAAATCATCGCGCAACCCCCAACCTGGTACCCTGCGAGCAGAGGTTTCTCTCTTGCCTGGCTTTTAGCGTTTACGAAGTCGTTCGCGTTGCTTGTCTGTCGCGTAACGTAGTTGGTTTGTTTACGTAACAAACCAACTACGCGACAGACAAGCCACGCGAACGACTTCGTAAACGCTAAAAGCCATGCAAAAGAGAAACGTCTGTTCGCAGGATACAATCTGGAGGTCTAGGTCCAGGCAACTCGACTGGCCTTCACCAAAAAACCTGCCTTGCATGGCTGAACCCACTAAGGACCGAAGACCCAGCTATTATAGCTTCCAGGATCATGAAAGCGCGCAAGCCTTCCCACGCTGATACTTAGAGAGAAATGCAACTTTTACCTCCTCATAAACATCTTGTGGCCTGTCAGCGGGCAGTAGGTTCACTTGTTTAGCGCCGTAAGTATCCTGGCCCAGAGCAGCGTAGTGCTGAAGCCCGTTACAAGAACCATCCTGATGAACAGGCTGATGGGAAATAAACTGCGTAGGGTCTGGGGAACGGGTAGCGTCTGCGATCTCCATGCATGTGGCCAGCGCCTGCCAAGGATCATCAGCGGTTTTCCACCATCCTCGACCCTGTAAGAAAATAAACACTTAATGGGCTCGGAGCACGCAGTGAGTAACATATCGGGCAGAAACTGTGGCCAAATTTGGTGGTACTGGCACATTTCTACGTCAAAAACGACACTAATTTACCCTTACCAAGCCAGGGTGCACGAATGTTTAAGCTCGCGTAACAGTAAAAAGTCGAGGAAGGGGACGGGGCTTCTCCCCTCCCCCTCTCCCGTCGCCTTCTTTCGTCTTTATGCCTATCCCAAGGGTTGATATTTCTACTGTGCCCAATCTTCCGTCAAAAAATCAAAAGATGACGGCCACGGCATTACGAACATAAACAAGCAACTTTTGCTTGCCACAAAAAATACGCCAGGATTGCGAATTTGGATTTCTTTTTAGAAAGGAAACAGGTACTACCATGTCAGCATTTTAGTTTGACAAACCGCCAGTCGTTGGGTATTTATTTGCCACCAAGAAATTTTTTTTTTTTCCCGCAATTGTCGGGGAACATTTTCCATAAAAAATACAAGAATGATATAGTCGCGTTGCAGTCCTTACAAAGCTACTTCGTATAAGAAATTTTCTTCCGCTAAGAAAGTAGAACTTGGATTTACCAGAGTGTTGACCCAATCATTCACCTACCGTCAGAGGATTGTCCGCTGAGTCCAATATATCGTCCATAATGTCGTTAGCATACTGAAGACGTTCTTTCAGTGAAGATTTTTTCTTAGTACCGTGGAGCGCTACAAGATGTATCTTCAGCCAATCCAGACCCTTCTCCCCCAAGGGGACACCCTTGGCAAATTGAAGCATTCCTCGGCTTAGATCATCCCCTAGGACACACAAAAATAATGATGGACACACTCAAAATCGGTTATGGCCAATTACGAGAGAAGGTTGGTACTGAAAATCTATCGTAAAAAGATTTTCGATAGGTGAATCTTTGTTTAAAAAATTCCCTCACTTAGTAACAATTCAAAACATAACTTAACAATAATTCTGAACATTAACAAGACATGTCATTAACTTTCTCGCAAAGACCAGTTTTCCTTTGTAAAATGCGATTCTAAATGTATAGCTTCAATAACGCTAATACCACACAGAAATTTGATATTTCGTTTGTCCAATTGCGGATATTTCCTCAAGTATTACCTGCACAGAACTAAAACTTGTAAAGCTTATCTTTGCTAGAAGGGAAGCTCTTTCAGACATTGAAGTACACGTTTACTTATCATGACGACTTTTCTATAAAATGTTTATGGCTACAAAAAAAACTGTAAACAATGATGTTAGCAACGATTCTCTGATAGAGCAGTATGCCTAAAATATTCATGGAATGCGGAACCCAATACTCAACGACTAGCCTGTGAAAAGAGCCGACATTTACACATTTTCAGTAATTCCGTACTGATGACGCGTCACTAACCAGATCTGGGTAGTACTTCTGATTGGCTAAAGCAAATTTCCCTCGCTGCTTCACCCAATCGAAAGCACTGACGGAAAAAAAAGATGTGGTTAGTGACACGTCATCAGTACGGAATTTCTGCGCTTGTTTCTCAGACATCATTTCGCGGAAAAAACCGGTGCTAGCGTCGGGAAATGTCGGCTGTTTTTTCAGGTTACTGTTGAAAACTGTAATCAATGATGTTAACAAAGACTCCCTAAAGGAGTAGTATACTGATCATCTCATTGAATGCTAGACCCAGTACTCACCGACATGCGAGCAGTGTGGAGGAATAGGATAGACTCTTCCCCGGAAGTCCAAGTTGATTGGCAGCCAGAAAACGTGATCACGGAAGTGATTGGCGACAGAGAGTTTGTACATACGAACGTGACGCCATAAACAATGGTCATAACCGTTTGTTTCACCACTTTACGAGTGACTTTTCCTTCAAGTTCTTTAGCAATTTCGTGACCAGCTTCAGCGTCACGCAACCGAGCAGCTTCGACAAGTTTTGCGACCTGAAGAGCAAGGTACAGAAAAAATAATACTAATGACTAAAAGTTTATCTTAGGTATTTAGGATTTAACTCTTCTCCCTCGAGAAGGCTCACGAATCCTCTCCCTCCTCGCTCAAACATAACCCCCACCCCCCTCCTCGCCCAACCCACTTCCCTCTCCCATTCTCTTCAGTTCCATTGCACGCAATGGTGTGGTCTTAGCTATCTACATGACACAGTTTTATGGGGATGGGATATTAACTCATCGCGCAACCCCCAGTCTGGTACCCCGCGAGCAGAGGTCTCTCTTGCATGGCTTTTAGCGTTTACGAAGTCGTTCGCGTGGCTTGTCTGTCGCGTAACGTAGTTGGTTTCTTTACGTAATAAACCAACAACTCGACAGACAAGCCACGCGAACGACTTCGTAAACGCTAAAAGCCATGCAAGAGAGAAACCTCTGCTCGCACGGTACAATCTGGAAGTCCAGGTCCAAGAAACTCGACTGGCCTTTCACCAAAAACCTGTCTTGCACGGTTGAACCCACCAGGGATCGAAGACCCAGCTGGTATAGCTTCCAGGATCATGAAAGCGCTTACGTCTTCCCACGCTGATGCTTAGAGAGAAATGCAAATTTTACCTCCTCATAAACATCTTGTGGCCTGTCAGCGGGCAGTAGGTTCACTTGTTTAGCGCCGTAAGTATCCTGGCCCAGAGCAGCGTAGTGCTGAAGCCCATTACAAGAACCATCCTGATGAACAGGCTGATGGGAAATAAACTGGGTGGGGTCTGGGGAACGGGTAGCGTCTGCGATCTCCATGCATGTGGCCAGCGCCTGCCAAGGATCATCAGCGGTTTTCCACCATCCTCGACCCTGTAAGAAAATAAACACTTAATGGGCTTGGAGCACGCAGTGAGTAAGATATCGGGCAGAAACTGTGGCCAAATTTGGTGGTATTGATCCGGCACATTTCTACATCAAAAACGACACTAATTTACCCTTACCTAGCCAAGGTGCACGAATGTTTAAGCACACGTAACCGTAAAAAGTCGAGGAGTTGGGGCAAGTCAAAGGAGCGAGGAAGGGGACGGGGCTTCTCCCCTCTCCCTCCCCCGTCGCCTTCTTTCGCCCTTATGCCAACCCCAAGGGTTGATATTTCGACTCTCCCCAATCTTCCGTCATAAAATCAAAAGATGGCGGCCACGGCATTACGAACATAAACAAGCAACTTTCGCTCGCCCCCAAAATACGCCAGGACTGCGAATTTTGATTTCTTTTTAGAAGGAAACAGGTACCACCATGTAAGCATTTTAGTTTGACCACCCGCCAGTCGTTGGATATTATTCTCCAACAAGAAATTTTATTTTTTGCCCGCCGCCGGGGAACATTTTCCATAAAAAATACAAGAATGATATAGTCGCGTTGCAGCCCTTACAAAGCTGCTTCGTATAAGAAATTTTCTTCCACTAAGAAAGTAGAACTTGGATTTACCGGAGTGTTGACCTACCGTCAGAGGATTGTCCGCTGAGTCCAATATATCGTCCATAATGTCGTTAGCATACTGAAGACGTTCTTTTAGTGAAGATTTTTTCTTAGTACCGTGGAGCGCCACAAGATGTATCTTCAGCCAATCCAGACCCTTCGCCCCCAAGGGGACACCCTTGGCAAATTGAAGCATTCCTCGGCTAAGATCATCCCCTACGACACACAAAAATAATGATGGACACACTCAAAATCGGTTATGGCCAATTACGAGAGAAGGTTGGTACTGAAAATCTATCGTGAAAGGACCTTCGATAGGTGAATCTTTGTTTAAAAAAATTTTCTCACTTAGTGACATTTCAAAACTAACTTTTCAATAATTCTGAACATTAACAAAACATGCCATTACCTTTGAAATGCGATTCTAAACGTATAGCTTCAATAACACTAATACCACACTGAAATTGGATATTTCGTTTGTCCAATTCCGGATATTTCCTTAAGTATCACCTGCACAAAACAAAAACTTGTAAAGATAAACTTTTTTCTTGAAGGGAAGCTCTTTCAGACATTGGAGTACATGTTTACTTATCATGATGACTTTTCTATAAAATGTTTATGGCTACAAAAAATCTGTAAACAATGATGTTAGCACAATTCTCTAATACAGCAGTATGCCTATAATATCTTTGAATGCGGAACCCAGTCCTCAGCGACTCGCCTGTGAAAACAGCCGACTTTTACACATTTTCAGTAATTCCATACTGATGACGTGTCACTAACCAGATCTGGGTTGTACTTCTGATTGGCTGAAGCAAATTTCCCTCGCTGCTTCACCCAATCGAAAGCACTGACGCAAAAAACCAGTGACACGTCATCAGTACGGAATTTCTGCGCTCGTTTCTCAGACGTCATTTCGCGGGAAAAACTGGTGCCAGCGTCGGGAAATGTCGGCTTTTTTTTTAGGCCACTGTTGAAAATTGTAATCAATGATGTTAACAAAGCCTCCCGAAAAGAGTAGTATGCTGATAATCTCATTGAATGCTAGACCCAGTACTTACCGACATGCGAGCAGTGTGGAGGAATAGGATAGACTCTTCCCCGGAAGTCCAAGTTGATTGGCAGCCAGAAAACGTGATCACGGAAGTGATTGGCGACAGAGAGTTTGTACAAAGCTGACATGCGCAAGGAGTACTGTTCGCGTGCCAGTTTCTTGGCGATTCGTCTTTCTTGAATTTGTTTCCTTCTTTCTTCTGCGTTAGTTTTAGACCTGAAAATATTGATTTAGATAAATAAAAATACTCGAGTAACTAACTGAATATAAAGCCAGAGCTAAAAAAAATTGCAAGAACTGAATTAACAGAGTTCTGGCTTGTCTTTTAGGCAAGCTGCTCTCCCTCCCATTTTGCTCGTCCGGGGTCACTTCTTACTAGTCTTAGTGAATGATTTTGTTAGAGGATGACTTGCCTATTGGGTAAGTAAGCTTTAAAAGTTACTTGCCCAGCAAGAAAATAAACATGCCTCCGAGTACCGGGCCGAGCCCTTTATCGTAACGATAACCAACTCACTTGGGCGATTTTGACTCCACTTGAGGCTCGGCCACAGGACCAGGTATAGCTAAGTCATCATTACCACCAGTGTTAAACATTTGGATGGCAATATCCAGTATTCGTTTATTAGTCCTCCATGCACAAGACCCAAGGAAGTTCAGGGAGTCAAATACAGCAACCAAGTCTTCCTTACTTGTTTTCTCCTCCAGAAGCTTGTCATACCGACCTTCTTCATCACCAGCACTGCGAACAAGCTCAACTGTCACGAACAAAAACAGTTCTTATCTTATTCCTGTATGCACACCTTGACCAAGGCAACACATGACTTGCATACATGTAGCACTGGCGTGTTCACAGAAAAGGAAAGCTAACCTACAAGCAAACTCTATTTGGGCACCCTGAGAGACGAAGGTCCACACGACAGGGCTCGAAAAAAAAATTAAATTCCAGCTTATCCTTTGGGCAAGCAGCTCTCTCAATTTGCTTGCTCAGGGCCACCTCTTGCTCGTCTTAAATACTGATTTTGTAGCAGGGTGACTTGCTTAGACTTTTGCCTTCTGGTCAGTCAAGTCAGCTTTAAAGGTTACTTTCCCAGCAAGAAAATCTACTTGTCCCGGACTACCGGATGGGACGTTTTTCGAGCCCTGCACGTGCCCTGCATGTTGGTGGCGAACCAAGCAAGAAGTGAGGACGGGAGGAGAACAAGTAAGAAAAGATTCCTTCTTTTGTCGCCCTAATCATTTGCGGCAGATTAGCACTTGCCCTGACTCTCCAAATTTCCAGTGCGCAGCTGGGTCGCAGGCTACAAGTACGCCTGCGATGTAGGCCAGGCCAACCGAAATAAATTTGCAGGAATAGATTCCTCAATGGTTACTTTGTCGATGTGTCATCGGTTATGATTGCGGGCGACAATAGGAGCCTGGAATCGTAATCTCCAGGTTGTTATGTATGCAGCCAGCATTCGTTTGGACTCCCACCAAGAATGAAAGGGATGCTCAGAACACAATTTGGTCACGCGCGTTTCGACCTTCTACCCCTCGTAATCTGATCGCGCGTGTTTTGATTATCTGTCACGTGAAACATACGCAAAGCATAGCGATGGAGCAAAAGCGATTGGATTTCCAATCGTTGTCACCCGCACTTCCTAACCTTTGGTTATTACTAGTTTTTAGTCATAATTTTAAATTTTCAAAGGCCCTATAAGTAGAAACAAAGAAACATAGCAAACAAGAACAATTTAGTGAATGAAAAGCGTTCGTTCCCTGCTGGCAGAGGTCTTTTTTTCCTGGTAGAGAAACGAGATGAAAGATAAGATTAATTCGTCTTCTAAACCTGTGCGATTTACGGAGAATCTAATGATTGTCATGTTTTACGAGGAATGATTGACAAGGTTGATATTTCTCACGAAAACAACGCTCAGATAAAGTTCTCAAACCTGGTAAGATAAGGTAGGCGCCATCCTTGGTTGCTCTCCATGGGCGTGGTGGGACCAGCATAGGCACCGATGTTGTTTCCATAGAAATCTCTCCCTGACTCGCCAAATACTCCTTGAACAATTTACAAACGACTGGGTGTGGCTTTAACACTCCCAGCTTCTTGTTCACCTTGAATTCGTACGTGTGGTAAAAAGCTGGAAGAATCAACTCTTCTGGGCGATTGTTGAAGAGATTCACATTGATTTGAGCTGACTTGAGGAAGCAATCCACCAATGAGCATCCAAACTGAAAGCCAATATTATTATCAGTTATGGAGAGTTTGCAAATGACTACCATTCATCATAGCCTTCGAGAAAAAGAAAGATCGGATAATACAACGCACGCATGTTGTTAAATAGCTTGGTTTTCCCCCAACATTGTGCCCTCGGATTGGGTACGTCAAGGCCACATGACAACTAAAACGTTTCTAGATGGACAGAAAAGAAAAATGTACGACCTCAAAGGTTAACCGTGTTTAGTGCTTTGTCAGCCCCTTCTTTGTTTTCACATTAGAGCCACTCATATGATGACCGAGAACAAATCCAGCCAGCAGCTAGGGAGGGATGGAACTGTGGCTTACCACTCACAGGGGCAGACTTAGGGGGAGGGTGCAGGGGTGCCCCCCCCCCCCCCCCCCCCCGGCGCCCCCGGCCTTTTTAAAAAACCACTGTTTTTTTTTTTAATTTTTTTTTTGCCCCCCACCGTTCTACCCTCTCTTCTTTGTGGTCCCCCCCCCACAAAAAAAACCCTGCCTCCCCCGCCCCCGCCACCCCCCCCCCTCCCCAAAACAAAAAAAAAACATGGGGGGGGCCCCCCCCCCCCCCCTTGACGTGACCTGCGGCTTTCTAACACAACTGGTATTCTGTATTAAAGTTTGTTTACGTCACCAGTCAGTTACGCCATTCCTTAGTGATGCACCCCTCCTAAGAAAAATCCTGGATCTGCCCCTGACTCGGCCACTCCTCTTCCAATGAGAAACAAAAATGCAGCTAAAACACAAGTTAACTTTACATGGCTGTTTCAAGTTCAAAGTTTCCCACTTTTGTTCACTACACAAGGTATGATCTGCAAGGGGGGATCATTGTACCACTGCAGTACTTACTACTATTTTTGTAGCCCAGGGCCAGATTGGAACTTCTTGCTGAAGTGAACCACCAAAAGGAAGGATATCATCCAGCTCATTCCAGAACTCTCGAGCCATCTTCCTCGCTGTAAGCCTCTCATCCATCAGATAAGAAAAATAGTCATGATATATGCCCTTCATCTGAATTTAGAAATAATAATAATAATGATGATGATGATGATGATGATAAACTGTTGTTATCAGCACCTTGGTGATCTGAACCAAACATTTCACTACCACAAGCATTTTTTTCAAGTTCTTGGAGGTTCAGAGGTTTCATTTGAAACCAAACACCAAATATAACAGTCATACTTATATCTATGTACTTTATTTACTTTCATGTACTTCACTATCCATCTACAGTACTATCCCATAATGTACAGCATTAAAAGAAAGGGCATGTGTCCAATACCTAGCCCAGAGCTACGTGTACATGTAGATATTGCTATGGGGCTAGTGAATTTTTTTCTTGATTTGCCCGACGGGTAAGTGTAGTTTTTTGGAGAATTCAAATTACAGAAGAACTGAAATCAATCCTGCTCATCAACATTTTTTTCTTGGGCTAGATAAAATGACTCTTGGCTTGTACATGATACCTACAGTTTACCAAACTGTAAAACTGACTTCACTTTGCACCCTGTTCATGTGTGATTAAATGTGCACTACTATCTTATAAGTTTTGTTACTTCTCTAGTTTTTCTGTAACTTTTTTTATTGAATAATCTATTTATTCACATTACGGTGCATACTGTAAATCCTCTATTAAGCTCCCCTGGGGGGTTTATTTATTCCATGCCCGTTTGAGGGAGGGGTCTTAATAGAGATGGGGGGCTTATTTGAGAGGACAGGCTTATTTAATTTAGAAATGACAATGGTATCAGTTCTCCATAATGAACTAGAATACAAAGTAGAGACACTCAAGAACAAGAAGGGTGGAGGTCATGTAGCCGAGGATCAGAATCAAAACCGAACTTCCAGTTGGTAAATAAACCATCCAGGATCAGTCCACACAAAGTTTTACAATCATGACTGATTAATACAGTCTATCATTTATTAGTGAATAGAATAAACATAAATAAAGGAGGGGAGGGGGGCTAAGTAGAGAAGGGGGAGCTTATCAAGTTTCTTCCCCTGAAAAGGTGGGGTGGAGGCCTTATTAGAAGGAGGGGGTTTATTTGAGAGGGGGAACCTTAATAGACGATTTATGGTAATTCACCTCGTTTAGCCTTTTTGGGTTGTGCACATATCGTTTGTAACTAGGGTTAAAAATGTCATATGTTCTTGTTGTTGTTGTACTGTCAGCTGGGCTGAAAAATAGTGGCAGTAATAGTACTGTAGAGGCTCAACAGCAGTTACATGTACCTTGTCCAACATTCCAGACTGTACTCTGTGTTTCACAATGTACTTTGTGTTAAGCACTGAGCCCAATGCTCCACTAACACCATATAAAGGTACACCTTCAACACGCCCTTTCACATAAAACACAATGGTGTCCAAGGTAATATCAGCGAGCTCGTCAGGTTCAAATGCCTGGAAGAAAGGTGCAAATCTAGGGTGCACAGACTTCCCTATGGAGGGGAAAGAGCACCATTAGCATGGTATGAAATCTATGTACTATGTTACAGTTGAAAATTAAATTCAGGTTAAAGTTTTTAACCCACAATTGGTGACAAAAATGTTGAGACAAAAATAGGGTAACATCAGAGAACAAAACAATCCACACCCCTCCTCCCTCCCCTCCATTCAAAGTTGGGGTGTTTGTTGTTTTCTGTATGTAGCTCGAACAGCGGTACAACATTGCATGGAGGGGATGGGGGAGGAAACGCAATATTTTCCCCTTTTGAAATCAGTAAATCATCAGAAAGCCCTTTAAGGCAAAGTGTCCCAACTAATTTTGTTTTTTTAATTTCCTTCGTCTCCTAGCCCTTATTATACATGGTTTAGGGCTAGGAGATAATGGATACTAAGAATCAACCTAGGTTAAAAAATTTTAACCTGAATTCGAGGCTGTGCTTTAGCAGAGCCTGGTGGCCCATGGTGCCTAATTTTTGCTCTCGGGCGACTAGAACATCTTTGCTTTTTCATAGAAATCATATGCTGGGCACACTAGATTTCACAACTTCAGAACACTGGGCTCCCTTCAATTTTTCTTAGAGCACAGCCTTGGAATTTAATTTAGACCTATAACATGTACACAGTAATGTATGTGAATTTATTCCAACAGCATGACAAGCCTTTAGCACTTCTCATTAATTTTATGGTTCTTCAGTTAATTTGTTCTGAAAAAAGAAAACCAACCAACAAACAAGAATTTACTTTTGGAAAGTCAAATTATTGTTCTGTAGCAATTTTTTCCCTACTTATCCAAGATGACTGAGCAGACGTATTTCTGCCTGTAAACCATTTTAGCACCTTTTAAAAGAAAATTGTGATATCTGGGTTCAAAAATTCAAGTGGCAAGAAGTACAATGTATGACCAGTGCAATATATTTCCCTGATGGCAGACTTCACATTTATAGTGACAGTTTATCCTCCTAATTTTTAAAGCCACCAGGTAGAGAATAACAAAGAGAATATAAAAAAAAACAGTGTACTGCTTTGAATAGCTCTTGCTATAATCCTCAAAATTTCATGTCAAAAAAGACAATGTACAGACACTGATCTACATGTCAATGTTCACTGTACCTTTAGAATTCTTGATTTCAAACAACTCTTTCTCAATGCTCTCAATTAAAGCTTTTCTCCATTTGCTGCGGCACTCTAAAAACATTTCCTTTCTTCTTTGATTCATTTCACTGTCCCCTTTGTCATCCTCGACTGACTTTATGGGTGTAAACCCTGATAGTTCCTGTAAAATTTGCTGCTCAAAAAGCTCCTTGAGTCTTGGTTCATCTAGTTCTCTTTCAAGTTTTCCAGGAACACTTTGTAGTTTTTCGTCTAAGTTAATCCTGTCTGAATACCATGACCTTACAAGGGCGGGATATTTGATTTGACTCCGTGATTCTGGAGTACTTGGTTGGTAATCAGGGATGACAAGTCTTAATGCTTTCAAAACTCCTTTAGCTTGAGGCTCTGTTAGACAACACTTGTGGAATATGTGCCTGATATCAAACTCCTATACAAAAAAATTGGAAAGACCACAAAAAAATAAGAAGTTCTCACAACCAAGAGACTGCATACAATTACATCCCACTACAGTTAATTATTACATAAATAAACAAAATAGATCCTTTCCACATTGATATTTCTCTATTGAAATGTTTGTGCCGATGGTGACAGAGTTAGACAGCTATCGAGAATGGATAAGGCTAGCTATCACAAAGAGCCAGAGCCCTGAAGGATTTTCCTTGGCAATTAGAAGCTTTAACACTGGCAACTTTGTATCCAGAGAAATGAAATGAGCAAATTTAGAAAAAATAAAATAAAATCCCCCAGCATTTTTAATTGTCCTGGCCTGCCTACATAAACATTGTAGTTCAGAAGATACATGCCACTCCACTTAGTCCCAATAAAAATATTAGCTCTGATGATATCACATGTCGTATCAGGGAAATGCATGGTTTCATGAGGGGTAGGGGTGGTTTAACATATGGGATGAGGTGGGATGCGTAATCAAATTGGGACAAAATTTTCCTTGACAAACTATGTTCTCATTTTGGAAAAGACAAATACATACTTGAGTATCACTGACCTTCTCCTCCATTTCTTTAATGACACTCCGAACACCATCTACATCATCAAATTTGCCATAGCCGTGCAGCATTGCAGCGTAGGTTCCCATATCTGGTTGTAAACCTTCTCTCTTAAGCAGTTTAAACAGCAACTTAACACTCATCAGGTTTCCTTTCTGTGCCCAGCCATGAAGTAGTTTGTTAAAAGTATTTACATCAAACTTCTTTCCCATTCTCAGATACCTGTTGAACAGCTTTTCAGCTTGATAGGGCTAGGCATAAGGAGAAACTTAGTGTCATTAAGCATAATAATGTGTTTAAGTTCTTTTATTAAAACAAAAATTTATGAAGATTTTATGTCACATTAAACAATAAGCAATGATTGGATTTGGGTTTCATATGGCCTGACAAATTATGAAGATCAAGAAGAACATCATAAAAACCATTTCTACCGTCTACTTGTAATGTACAGTCTGCTCTCTCTTAAAAGACACCTTTAGTCCCCGAGTTAGTCCCCGCCTTTCTTGACATCCTTTACTTAACTCTTGATAGATGGATGTCACTTTTAGACAGATACATAGTGCTGGTCCCAAAGACATCTTTAAAAGACTAGAACCTCGGTAAAACGGACACCTCGAGTTAGTCCCTGCCTTTCTTGACACCCTTCATTTAACTCTTGATAGATGGATGTCACTTTTAGACAGAAACATAGTGCTGGTCCCAAAGGTGTCCATCTTAAAGAGAGTTGACTATATCATGAATTTGAACATATTTTTATTTTCTCATGTTGGGCTCCTTACTCACATTTCCTAGAAACAGATATCCATCTATTTCAGCCAAAGTCTGTGCTTCAAAAAGCCTTCCACCTGCTGTTCCCTCTCTGTATTTCTTAGGAGCTTGAACAACACTGTCAAACATTGCACCAGATGTGATTTCAAGTTCCTCTAATGCAGCTACACTCTCTGTTCTTACAGTAGATTCCTCGTCATCACTAACAAAATCCAAATCAATGTCATCTTTTTCCTTAGCAAATTCTTTTGTTGTTACTAGATGAGGAACATCGCCAAGATCCTCCATTTCTGTTTCATCATGATGATCATCCTCCCCCGCAACTAAGACAGCTTCAGGACCATAATCTAACATATGTTCATCATCGTTCCCAGCTGTCCCTACTGTTGTCACAAGTATATCTTTATTCTCTTTACTTAGTTTTGAAGATTCACTTGTTCCTTTTTTCTGCTTATTTATACTCTCCAATAATGTCCTCTCACTTTTTCTTTCACTATTCCTTGACAAGTCATATTTATGAGAAGGATTCTTCTTTTTTGCTGCTCCACTATCTGTGTCATTATTCTGAATCTCTTTGGAGTCTGTTCCTTTAGCTGTTTCAGTGCTTTTAGCACTACTTTTATCTGTTTTCTTTTTGTTACTTTCTGCTTTTTTGGTTTTCCTCTTGTGACCTCTGTCAACTGCAGAAACATCTTTTGCTGCTGAGGTAGCAACTTTCTGATCAAGAGGGGACGTTATAGTGCTAAACCCATGTGTGGATTGGAAGTTGTGTAATTTTGGTTCCACAAAGTTGTTGTCATTATTTAATGTCTTCTTCTCTAAATGATGGTAAAAGAGGAAAACATTACTTGCACCTGCCGCAGAAAATTCTGTTGTTTACTCGTATTTTGGCCTCTCTATGCCTTCAAAATTTGAGATAACTGCCTTGAGAAAACAGCCAACATTTTGTGATGCCACCACTGGTTTGCCCACGAAATGACGTCTAAGCAGCAACTGCATAAATTTCATACCCTCTTAACTGATGACATTCACTACCCAGATCTTGGTGGTACTTCTATTATTGGTAAAGTCAGAAAAGACATTTGCTCCAACCAATCAGGAGCACTACCCAGATCTGGGTAGTGACACGTCATGAGTATGGAATTTCTGCGCTTGTTTCTCTGTCATTTTGGGGGGAAGCCAGTGGTGGTGACACGAAATGTCAGCTGTTTGCTCAGGCTACTAGATACCCAGTAGTCTAAAATTTATGTCTAATTATATTTTATCTCATTCAATTTTTCTTAAAACATCTGACAAACGCATGGAGGTAGATATATAACCCACCCTCGACCTGCTAGATTATTTAATTTATACTCAGCCTCAGCCTCATCCGATAATTGATTATTGTTTCTTTTAATTTTCATTATTTCCTGGTTGTTCCTGAATAAAACTAAAAACATTTCCCGGCTGCCGGGTGCGTATTTCATAGACACATGGGAAAGAATAATCTTTCTTACCTACGCGGAGATGTTTGCTTTCATGACTGTGTAGAATTCGACAACTTTGAAACCCTGTCCCTGTCAAAAGAAGCTTTACCGAAGCACTTGCACCCTCAAAAAGTTTCTGGTGTCGGCGACAAATCTGCAGAAAAGCCATGCTTGTTCCGCCATTGCATTTCTGCGCCAACGGATCTGCCAGCGGATTGTGCCAAGAGAAAGAGTTACGTGGTATAAATGGACATCTGGGGTGCTTACCATTTGACAGAAAAATCCGGCTGGGGTGTCGAAAGCATTATGGCATAATGGTAAGCGATTTACTAGACTACGAGTAGTCCCCCATTTTTCCTCAGGAATAGTAGAGCGTGCAAAACGCGAGCGCGCGTGAAAATCACCCCACGCGAGAAAAGGCGACACGCGGCGAGGAGAGAGAAAAATGAGCCCAAGCTTTTGAACTAATGCGTTGCTCTCACAACGCAAAACTCTGATTGGCTCTTGCATGGAAATCTGTCAACATCTGTCAAAAACGCGCCAGCCGCTATCAACACTTGACATAATCACAATTTGCAGAACAAATAACAGCACAGAACACATAACTAGCGTTGGTCTTGTAGCAGCAACTAAGAAAAAAGCCTCATTTCAGTCTCTCTCCCTGCCGCGTGTCGCCTTTTCTCGCGTGGGGTGATTTTCACGCGCGCTCGCGTTTAGCACGCTCTACTATCTCTGAGGAAAAATGGGGGACTACTCGTAGTCTAGCGATTTACCAGTTTACAGTAAAACTGCCACATCCGTTTCGGTTTGAATCCAAAAAAGGGCGAGATTTTAGCGTGAGTCTGGAACCGAGAAAGAACGGAGAAATTGGTTAATGGTAAACAACATTCCGTTTGGTTCGTACCAACCGGAATGAAAGAACTACCTCAAAACGTACTCCTCAATTTTCGGTTGGAATTTCCGAAAAGTGAACTTACCATTTACCTTCCATCCGGAATTTCCGAAATTTTCTGTCAAATGGTAAGCACCCCAGGACATCTAAGTTTCCTTTTGGTTTTCCCCAGCAACGTGCACGCAAACACCTGAAGTTTGGTGCCAATTGATAACGAACGATATAGCCTGCGTGGCAGGCGTTTGAAAGGGAAGGGAAAGGGGTTTTGGGCGCGAGGGAAACGCGAGGGGCGCGCGAGGAGGAAGAGAGGGAGGGAAACGCCTGCCAGGAAACCATTGTTTTCGCCATCCCGCCTACTAATTATGTATGCAAAAATAACGCAACTGTGAATGACTAGCTGTCAAATAAGTCTGGCCGCGATGCGCTTATTTAAGTCGTATTTCGCTTACTGTTTTTCTTTTGTTTTGTAAAACAAGAAATCTCAAGTGAAGGTACTATTAAAAAAAGTGTAAATGGGTCGTCCGTTGAAAGAAGAAAGTCGCAACCATTCGTGGCATGTTATATAAAATCCAGCATAAATCTATTACGTTTTTGCTGAAGGTATCGTGTTGGACTTCCCAACTTGCATGCAGTTTTTGTCGGAGATATTGATCACAAACACTTTGCTGACTCTCGAACTGGATCCAGCGCAGCATACAAAAGAACGCTGGTAGCAGGGAAAGAAGAGCGGAACTTCAAAGATCTACAATAAGGCTAATTCTGCAATCAATATTATTATTGAAGTAAGTTCCTGGCGGCTTTATAACGTCTATAACCAGCAAGAAGAAGTCCTCAAACCAAAAAATCGCTAAGGATTATAGATCGCTTCGTCTTCAAGAATCTGGTCGTTGATAAGCGTAGCGTGCGTGGTAGGCGTTTAAGGTCAAACAGCAGATAACAAGCACACAGGCAGCATGATTTTTTTCTTTCTTTCTTCTAGTGAGTAAAACAAGCCGTTGGGAGACAAGACTTCTCAAAACCAGTCAGCAAAACTCATCTAGCTGTCAGGTCTTTTCCTTCATACGAGTCTTTTAACTGCTCTCTTCTATTCTCCTTTCAAGTTGAAATAGATACCTTCCGTTTCTAGTCGTTCTAAACGATGAATTCCATACAGAAATCTCATCACGCCTCACTAACAACATATTTTTAAATGATTACTGAAAGATCGATTAAGTTTCTCAGTAGCGTGATGTTGATTTCAGCCAATCGGATTAAGGTATTACGGCTGTGATTGACATGTTTTGAAGTCGGACCAATCAGGATTTAAACATTCGCCTGGTGGATGTTAAAAACGAGAAAAACAATGGTCTCCTGGCAGGCGTTTCCCTCCCTCCCTCCTCGCGCGCCTCTCGCGTTTCTATCGCACCTAAAACTCCCTTTCCCTTCCCTTTCAAACGCCTGCCACGCAGGCTACGAACGATAACACGAGCGAAGCAGTATAACCAAAAAAACAAAAACAAAACAAACAAAACACGCAAGAACGGGTGGAACGACGTCAATTAAGCGCAGCATTAATTTCCGCGCTCTTAATTTCCGGTATTTTAACCCCAATTTTGGAACCTGTCCAGACATTCTTGACACCTAAGAAACATTAACTACAAGCTTTCTTTCTTTCCATTTACCCTTTATTTTTCATCTTTCACAAAAGCTAAGGCGAAGGTTTACGATACTTTGAGTCCATCTTTATCGTTGTCGCTGTCAGAAGTGATGTCAATATCTTCTCCTTTGATTTCGGTCAAGATAATCGCGTTAATTTCCTTTTTATGAAATTCTACCTCCTCTTTCGCGTTAACTTTCTCAGTATTCGAAAGTCGTTTTCCATTAAATCAGGGGCACCCAACGACAATTTTCGGAAAATACCTGTTCGGAAGACGATTTGAGATCTAGAATTTTCGGAACATTTGTTGTAAAATTTCTTGCTTCCCTGCCTCTCCTAGGATTTTCGAACATCTAAAAAATGGTATAACTGCCTATTTTTAACGGATTTTTACCCTAAAAAGGTCCCCTAGAATTTTCGAGAGCCTTTTTTCTAGCTGGAATGAAAAATGAAAAAGTTTTAGGGGATAAAAATATGCCTATATCTACCGTTTAAATACTAAAATACGTTAAACAATGCTATTTTTAAGTGGTTTTGACCTATATTCTCGTTGGGTGCCCCTGATTAAATTCGCGTTAATTTAAGTCGCGTTAATTTCCAATACCTTAATTTCATGGCCCGTATATTTCCTACTTTACCTTTATTGCAAGAATTGTTTTTTAGAGTCTTTTTAGTTAGTGTTTATAGTTGCAGCTATAGTTTTCCCACAAAGTATTTACTGTAACATTAAGAGCAAGTACGCAGATGCCATTCAGAATAACAACAAAAAACGTTTTGTAATTTACCTTAAGATGGAGAACGGTTGTTTCAGTGAAAAAGAAATTTGAAAGGCATGATTTCGTTTACGCCTGCGGGGCAGATGAAAGCATACATCAACTCGTCTACAGTACCAATGACTCAACCGAAGGCAAAAGGAAATGTTTTCTCCTTTGATTATGTTATAAAAGAAATGGTAAACGTTGCCGCTGTGCAACATGGAGTTATGGATGCACTTGGGAAGTTTTCTAAGCACTCAAGAAGCTAGAGTTGCGCTAGGCTATCGCCTCGTGCAATATTCTTACGCTTCTTTCGTACTTAGCAACCTCCAGCGTGCCTCCATTAGTTTAAATTATATAACGTTATTTTTATACGTAATTAAACATTCTAACACGCATAACAGATAAAATAAGGCAAAACAATTTTTTTTAAGTTGACGAAGGCATTGACTCATTGAGTGAGCAATAGAAATTAAGAAATGGCAAATGTGCAGCGAGCAACCATGGAGTAATCATTTGTTGGAACTAACTGAATATAATAACGGTATAGATGATAGTCTGCGGGTTTACAACTTGTTGGTTGCCGTTGGCTGTCGTCTTTTTATTTCAGCATTGCCAAGCAGGGCAACCAACATCATGTTTTAAAAGACACTGTTTTTTAAAAATAATGTTCTTGGTCTCCCTGTTTGGCAATGTGCTTTACAGTCACTAGCGGTTACAAGCGGGTCAGTTGAAACAGAAGATTTTGAAAACTGACTGGAGCTTGTATTCTGGCCCTTTGAAACGAAATTTCGTCAGGAAAGGAAAGTTCGTCTAAACGCATAATGCGGCTTGTGCACGTCTTTATACTTGAGACGCACAACCAGACGAACTACACAAATGTTTGCCCAAGATTGTCCATGCCAAACGGATAATGCAAATGTAGTATAAAGAAGGCCAATGTATGCATGCATACTGCCTGACCTTGCAGTAAGCCTACACTGTACACTTTTCGACCTCGGGGACATAGGCGGGTTTACGGTATTTGCGCTCTCCTGTCTAAAAGTGGATTTCCACTGTTGTGTGATTTTTACGTGCGGATACGCGCGTTTCGTGACCGTTAATCTATGACATCATTTGATGGGCTCCTGTCTATGATAAAATTGGTAGGATATCCAATGACCGGGCTTTTTGACCGTCGAAAAGATCAATTTGAGGTCTCTTCTCACCTTTTCTCGCGATGGCTGAGGTTGATTTCTGTTTTATATATGTTTGAGATAAACATGGGAGATGGATACAACTTTAAGTAAGCATGACCGATCATAAATGCGATATCGGTATTTCGTCGATTTTCGACTCGGTATTTCGGTATTTGCCATTTTGTTATTGGGTACCCCCCAATGTTCCCCTCCTTTCTCCGAAGACACACGATACTGAAATAAATGTTGACATATTGCCAGAGATGTGTGACCCTTCAGGAAGCAAAAGCTAAAGCTAAACAGAAAAGGCATTCATTAAAAAAAAAAAATCACGTTTTCTATGCTCTGGGACGCGACATGATGACTACGGTTAGATTTTGCAGTTCAGCACAGCCTTGTGCAATTATGGAAACTTCAAAAAATATAGAAATAAAAAAAAAATTATTGAACTCATAGATTATTTTGGTTTTTTTGCCAAAACGGACAGACATCAACTTCCTTTAGCGGTAAACGTAAACCAGATGTTTCAGGAATTTAGGATCAAGAATGCCACGCTGAAGGCAAAAAAAGCACGTTTAATGTTCAGTTCCTGAGGAAGAAGGAACAGACAATTCATTTGCATTTGTGGGGCCTCATTCTTCCGAATTGTTACACTGTTTCTACGAAAGAAAACCGTGTTATGAGTCTGAATGATGTGGTGACAGAACTATATATCAGTAGTGCAAACGAGTAAAAGAGAATTCGATTTCCAGGCGCAAACATGAGCTACCCCAACCCCCTCCCCCCCCCCTCCCCCCCCCCCGAGCACCATCTCCCCGGTCTTCTCCGGCGTACAACCACTCCCACCCAGCAATCACAGACAGAATTACCTGACCCTTAACACGTATTAAGCAGTACAAATCTAACGTTTGTCAGTTTGTTCGTTGGAAAGGTACCGGATAAAACTATCTGCATTACCCAGTGTACTGGGACAATGAAAGCTCTAATTTTGATTATCCTCTCGATAGGATGTATCTCAGCCAAAAGGTAAGCGACTTCCTGTTCATTTATATATGTAAGTTGCTATATTCATATGAAAGCGGCTGAAGTTTCTGGGTCCCACAAATCATGATGGAATACTGTGGTCGCGAAATACCGTGCGTCATGCGCTGAGTCAGTCAGATCCGTAAGTCCGCGTCCAAAAACGTGCCATATTACAGTACCATCAAATGTTTCATTTTCTTTCGTAGCGGATCCAAAAGATAAAACTTAACGACTTCCGCGAAACAAAGATTGTTTGTTGCTGATGCTTAAAAGATACTCATGAAGTGATATGCTAGTTTTGCCCTTTGGCGATCTACCCAGCGGTTCAGTCGAACTATACAAAGGATAAGCCTGGCTTATTCCAGTCAGTCAGAGGGAGCGTAGTCAAAGATTGAACAGATTCGTCAAGAAGGATATAAAACATTAAGAGAATGAACCGTATAATTGGGATTTTATAATCCATAGACTAAAAGTGATACTTTTATAAATTACTTCCGTGCTCTAAATAAGCCAGGGGGTGGGAGTTGGGATTCTTGATAAATAAGGACGTGCCGTTGGAAGACGACAGCGACGCAAAGAAGAACGGCAAAAAATAATGGGTTTTAGATTATTAGCAAAAAACCAAATTTGCCTGTTTATCTCTTTTTTTATATATACGTATCTTTGCCATCACTGCACGATTACGACGTGAAAGTGCTTTATTTCACGTCTTGTAAGAGGACGAGAACACAAGACAACGACTTCCTTTTCTTTCCCTAAACAGCAGTACAGTCTTCTAGAATGCAAATCCAGAAAAATTCGCAAACATTAGACGATTTGAACGGAATGGAATGAGCGCGGTAAAGTTTGAAGCAGCGCTGAAGCCCGCCTATTATTTTTTCGGTTCTCTGACCAGAAGGGCGCGTTGAAATTCATGTGAGCTTATCCTTGGCATGGTTAGATCTTTTGCGGAAAAACTTCGTATCTGGCAGTTGAAGCATTGCTAATTCAGTGTCCTGTTTGACAGGGTTCCTTAAACAGCGATTGTTTTCCCACTACTGGCTAGTTATGTTCGGTTTCCCTTTTGCTCTAAATAAACAGGGTCAGGTTTCATACCCTCAGCGACAAAGTTTTATAAAATGGGCCAAGTACTTTTCCCCGGGCCATAGGGATTCTTTATCATTGGAGGAGATCCTTGTTGAATTGATCTCAGTTTCACTCAGTTGACCCTCAGTTGCTAGTTGGTTTCTCCTTTACTCCGCATTCACGGCACATTAGTCGCAAGAAATTGAAGCAAAAAAGGTTGCTCACTTTGACCTTCAAAATTTTCTCTTTTTTTCCATGATAAAAAGTGATTTAGAGAGTGGCTTCAGCATACACGTGATGTATGAGGTCGCGGCTTTCGCGGTTTTCTTTACCATTCAGCTCGATCAAAACAAACTTTGGCTTCCCGTCCAGAATCTAAGTGTCAGCAATGAAACATAATCCCTAAGTCATGAATCACTAGCCATGGTCATTTACAGTCCCGGGGGGAGGGGGGTGGGGTACTCCTATACATTACCTATACGGGTATGTGCCGCCCAACGGGGGTCGCGATTTTGAAGCTCCTGAGGTACTTACCAAAGTTTTATACAGGGAGGCTCCGTCAGGATATCAGACCCTTTACCCTTTTATATACCATCTTTGACAAAAAAAGTACTCCTTTGGTATACATTTGTACCTTCTATTGCCAATTGGTCCCCTATCCCTTGTAACTACTGTAGATGCATTGTCTTTTAAGTAAGAATATTAGCTCTTTTGAGAATTTTTACTGACCGAAATGACAGATTTCCCTAGCGTTTCAGATACTTGAGTCAACTTAGGAAATTCCTACCCTTTTATATCCCTGAAGCCTGAAAAAGGTACCCCTCTCAGGCCATTGTAGGGAGTACCTCACCCCCCACCCCAGGGGGGCTAGTACCACAGCTTACGGACTGTGAATTGACCAATCACTGAGGGAGAAATGACTCAACGATTTAATAACATTTTAATATCACCTTTGCGATTTGCAGATTTGCAATAATGGCCCCAAATGTATTTCACATTGGGGTGAATGAACAAGTATCCATAGCAGTGTTTGATGCTGTAAATCCTGTGAACGTAAAACTATATCTTCAGGATTATCCACACAGACAAAAGACCTTTTCGCAAGTACAAGGTCAAGTGAAACCAGGTAAATCATACTTTGCCAGTACAAGAGGGAAGAAGACACTGACAAGAGCCAGCACGGAGAGTGATTGTTCTTCGATCTGGCCTCCCGGGGCACTGAACGTACGCGTCTCAGTGGCGACTAAAAGCATTTCTAAAATGTTGATAGTCCAGCTACGTAGTAAATTTTAGATTTAAATTTTACAAGGCAGAGATGCATCAACCGAACTTCAGTTTCCTGCAAGATCCGTGCCGCGCCGTGACGATTAAAGTCGATTTATCTATATGGATTCAAAGGGTGATCGTTGCATTTAGCCTGTGAGGAAGCTCTCCTGAGGTCTCCGGGGTGCTCTGGCGTCTGGCTACGTTGCATTGATTGCGATGATTTTGCCTGTACTATTTAGGGCTGTTTAATCCAGATTAGTTGTTCTTGCATATCGGTCTCAGAGGATGCTGCTGACATCCTGATTAAGGGGCTGTTTACATGGAGTCGAATGGAGAGAGAAAGATCCTAGCACTAGGAAGATCCTCGAAGGCGCAACAGCTTTTCGTTTGGATTTGACATGCAGAAATTCGGTCTGTGCAGTTAACAGTAGAGAAGTAATTGAAAATTTAAAGATTACCCACTGAAAAACCCGTCGCCGAAAAACAGAGAAAGTAAGACAGACAGACAGGCAGACAGACTAGACAGACAGACTTGACAGACAGACTTGACAGACAGACAGACAGACAGACAGACAGAAAAATGAGGAAGAGAGCAAGTACAGGCACAGGGATGGTTAAGGCAGTTCAAAGAAAGAAGATTTTCGTAGAAGGTCTTAATAGCACGGGAAGGATAGGCATGTACATCGAATGATAGCTGAAGAAATTAAATTAGTAAAACTCCTCATATAAGAACTGGGTGATTTACGAACCTACAGGCTTAAATTTGGCATTTAAATACCCAAAAATACGAGAAAGAGCCTCTTCGGCCTGGCAAAGAAAAACAGGTTCTTATACAAAAAAACTCACTCCAATTTTTAAGGTCAAAATCTTGTATATGTTTTCTTTGATTTACATTTGTTTGGATTTGCACGAGAAATATGTTTTCCATAAACCTTTATGTATTAATAGTACAATATTTCTACCAATGGTTACACTACAACAACCTCTGAAAAAGTATAAGAACCTATTAAGAACTAATCATTACTATCTATTTTTTCGCAGAATAACTAAATTAACATGGATAATTCAACTAAGCGAATGAAAAATTTGGGGTTAGGTGCACTTCAATTTGCAATCAAGTTCCTTAAGAGTTAATCAATACGTAGGTTGAACTAAAACAGTGTTTTTCTTCGAACGTATAGCTCATTATTTATTTATTTATTTGTATATTTTTTATTTCCAGGTCAAGGTCACTTATTTCTTTCAGTGAAGGTAATATACCGTATCGTTATCTCATTAAAGAGCATTTAATTTCGCGAAATGACAAGAAGAAGACAAATTTGGCGCTTTGCCGGAAATCATAAGAAAATTATCCCGCAAAATACACCATTTTTAAACGAGATGTACCCTTTTTGTATACCTTCCATTGAATTACGGAACTTTTTTCACCTACTTTTATTAAGAACACTGCATTCTTTCTCCTGGCAAACCCTAACTGGCAATCGGTCATGCGGGGAGAACTCTTGTCCAACTATAAAGTGTACCATATCTTAATGACAGATTTACCTATCCCCATATAAATTATTATTGTTGTCAATAACGAACTCTTTCACTTGTGTCGCCAGGTGACCAATTTTGACCAATGAGGCGCGCGGATTGTGAACGAAGATTGTATATTAACAGAACTTACAAAAGCAAAGTCTATAATGTATAGCTAGCATTGTTTTCACTACTATTAGCTCTAAACTCAGCATGCTTCCCCCATGTTTAGTTTTGATGACCTGTAGTTCATTGCACCTTGTATATTTAGGTAGAGCCCGAAAACCTGCCAGACATCGCATCTGTCGACAAACAATACGTTTATCTGGTAGCCAAGTCCGATGACGCGCATTATCAGTTTCATAAGGAAGCCAAGATTCTTTTGAGCTACAGTGACGGAATGGTGTTTATACAGACGGACAAACCAATCTACACTCCCAAACAAAAAGGTAACCGACACAGCTTATTGCAAAAGCAAGTGTAGGCTTGATAAGTAGGAAACTTAGACTGGATTACAAATTTTCACAAGCATTTTCTATCAAATGCGCCTCCCTCAGCCCACAAAGTTTATGGAGAAAAAATTACTGAATGCTATGATTATCAGCCATCGGCTAGTTTTTGTGTGGAGAAATTTGAACGAGGGCACAAGATACATCTTATTCGATTCCGGTATTACCCTGGGTGCCAGAGGCTTTTCATGCGTGGTTTCCGGTTTCGGTCAGTCTTTTAAAAAAGTGAAGTGCCCGAAAAGCGAAAAGTTTTTCCTCGCGGCGTCGCCGCTCGTGTCTTCGGCCTTCGGTCGAACACGTGTCGGCCTGCGGCCGACGAAACGAAGCTCCCCGTCGCACGCGAGAAAAATCCTCTGGTACCCAGGGTATTCAGGTGTGTTATCACTTAGAAATAAAACTAGCTAAATTCTTGCCCTGACGTGGTTGCATACTTAGCCTCACCGGCGGGTCTTTATTTCTTTCCGTTTTTTACTTACTAAGGTTTCTGGGTCTCAAAGAAGACGCCTGTGGTTCTCGATTTTCGATGCTTTTCAGTAGGGGTAGGGAAGGGGAAGAGAGGGGAAGAGAGTGGAGGGGGTCCACAACCAGGCGGAAATCCGGCACATGTTAAATCCACATTTCAACAACTTATTTTGTACTTTTTGCTAACTTTTTCTTGCTTTGTAGTTGAAATTCGTGTCATCCCTCTTGAGTTCGACATGAAACCGTCACGAAAGCAGGTAAAACTATGATTGATCACATGAATGATATCATGACGTTTGGGAGGAAGGGGCTCGGCAAAACAGCACTCTTGGATATTATTTTGTTTTGTGTTATTAGCTTCTCCCTTGAAGTGTTCTCTTATAACCACGTTTTCTTTGATGTCCTATGTTCGCTTTATTTACTACATACGTTACCCAGACTATCTAAAGTACTAGCCTGCGCAGCAGGCGCGCTAGAACGCGCGCACGAGGAAAAAAAAGGATTGGAGGCGTCCTCTACCCCCTTCACGCGTTCACCTCACGCTATACAAAAACTAACAATAAAGCTAACTGGCAGCTACCACGCAGGCTGCCAAGGCACTTTAGGAGACAAAAATGCTCTTCATAACACGAATTCGGTAATAAAAGGTGTTTGCAGCATACATTCCCGTCTTAGAAGTGTATATATCTACTTAGGCTTATTCCTGGCGAATCGTGCTCACCTGTGGACCTACACTCGTGAGAGACGGCCTCCTTTAGTCCCAGAAGTGACCCACTGTGGGCAATCGTTTACTTACTTTGGATTAAGGATCAGCTATAGATCTGTCAGAACCGTTTCCAAATAAATCATACTAGCCAAGTTATGCACTGAGTTTTTCAACTGATTGCTTTGAAATCCTATTCTAAGGAAGCTAAGAACATTATATCAGCTAGGAAATCCTTATTTTAATCATTAAGGCAATCACATCAACCTAGAATACACATTACACATCAGGCATTATTACTTTTTCTCTTTTTAACCAGCATGCTGTTTTAGGTTGTTAAAAATTCTACAGTTTAAACCTTTATGTAACTGACGAATTTGTGATTCATTGAAACATGACTTGCACACTAAACAACTATGCGATCTGTTTAAAAATCTTGATTTGCTTTTTGCTTTCTTGAACATACCAAGTTAAATGTTTTGTTCATGGCAATTCGTAGAGATGGTCACGTGATTCTTTTTCGTTTGTCATGAACATTAGCAATCGGCCATCTCTCAGTGCTATTTGCTGAAAACGCGATGCTTAACCCTCTCATTTTGGTCTCTCATAGTCGACTTACCGTAAATTCAGACTGACACTTTTTATTTATTATTCTTGTCTTTATATAGATAACAGTGGTAGTTGAGGTAAGCGCACTCCTCTTGGATGTTGCAGGAAATCTTTCTATTTGTTTGTATAAGCGCTTGTATGTCTGCTTATTATTCCGTGCGAAATTAAGTCATTTTCTTCTACTCGGTTTTAATTTTTCCCCAGAATCCACAGGGTATCAGAGTACGGCAATGGAAGAATCTGGATACCAGGACAGGTGATTTCATAGATAAAGCGTTTTCACACATGTGCGATTAGGCCCGTTAGAACAAAAGAAAGTGTTCACACCTCAAAAAAATTTGACTCCCTCAAAATCTTTTTGGTAAAATCAACCTGACCTATGAATTGGATTAGCTGGACATTGCTGAAATTCATGTCATTTTTTGTCCATAGCAATGTTTAAGTTGGATCCCACAACTTAAAAGGGTTAAGTAAGAAGCTTCACCCGACAAGTTATAGCTTGTTCACAGGCATTTTTCAGTTTTTTTTTGTTTTTTTTTATCGAGCGTATGAAAATAAAAACCGCGGGGATTGACCGCCATCGCAAGTGGGAGAATGGGGGGGGGGGGGGGGGGGGGGTTTTTTTTTTGTTTTTTTTTTGTGGGAGTAGAAAGAAAAAAAGGGGGGGGGGGGCTGGTTTGGGGGGGGGGGGGGAGGGGGGGGGGGGGTGGGGGGGGGGATCGGAGGGCGGCTAACAAAAACATGTTTCTTTCTATTTGTCTTTCTTTTTCTCTCGCGCGCTCGTCAAATCACGTCGACCGTACAGACTTTGGCCTTGATGTACATCAAGGCCTCGGTTTGAGATTTCCCTATAATGACCTCACTCTCAGTCAATAATTTAAGTAGTATGTAAGGGCATTTTTTGTGTAATTTCTTCATCAAGGAATCATATGGAAGAGGATTCACCTGGACGAGAATATTCTGTTGGGTAACTGGACGATAACAGCCTTATACGGTCATCGGGTACGTAAACGTGTAGTTTACATTTTTTTTTTTTATCCCAGCGCATCAGAAGAAACGCGCTTAGTAAAAACGGAAAGATATATTAGCATAACTGTCAATTTGTGCTTATGCGGTTGTTACGTTTTATTTTTCAAGGATATCCACAACACTTCAGTGAAGTTCGAAGTGACGGAATATGGTAAGAACATCTTGTGTAATTAAACAGGGCCGTCTGTCTTAAGATATACTAACGCCAATGATTTTTGCTTGCTTTCAGTTCTTCCTAAGTTTTCTGTAAAACTCTTGGTCCCACCCTTCATCATGAAAACAGATAACGACTTCAGAATCTACATAGCAGCAAGGTAGATACGTCTGGCATATTTTTGACTAAGGGCCTGTTTACATGGAGGTGGGGGACCCCAAGTAGGTGAGGTAACCCGCTTAGATGGGGTAACCCGCCTGTCCATGTAATCTCTTATATCCATTTGATCACGTTTACATGATAGGTGGGTTGACCCGCCAAGGCGGGTAGCCCGGTCTGCCAGACCGGGTAAATCCTCTCAGCCGGGGTCAAATTTTGCCATGTAAACGTTTTATTTAAGATGGGGTAACTCGCCTAGCCGGGGTCTGGATTCATGGTACATCAAATTCACGAAAAATTCACTTTGGCGGTGGCTTTGCATCATTATTAAAGGTAACAATAGAAAACCACAGCACTGAGGGGGGGGGGGGGGGGGGAGAAAAAAATGGGGGGGGGGGGGGGGGGGGGGGGGGGGGGGGCAGCAAGAACAGCAGTCGTTTACGTGTTTACGCGTTTTTTTGTTTACGTGCTTAGCGACCATTCAATAATCTGAGAAAGTGAACCCCGGGATGGCGGAGTTGTAAGATTACATGTAAAGGGGAGTTATTTTTTTACCCCACCTAAGCGGGTTACCTCAACTACCAGGGGTCCCCCACTTCCATGAAAGCAGGCCCTAAAGTCTACTGGTTTATAGCTTGTTTCGATCTGCCCTTGTTTCTTTGAATTTTAAGGTACACCTTCGGGAAACCTGTTCTGGGCAATGCACGTGTAAATTTGGACATTGTGGGGATGAATGGCACGACTTTCCCGTTTGCCAGGCCTGTCTTCACGGTGAGTTGAATTGAGGAAAGCTGTTCAGTTTGCGTTGAGAATTTAACACCAGCAGAAATTCCACAACAGTTTCCTTTTATCAGTAAACTAGTAATTCAAAACGACGGGTGGGACTTGCTGGTTCCCATACAATTGCCCGAAACGCAAGAGCGCGCGGTAGTCTACAAATTAAAAATTACCGGATCAAATATCTAGCACGTCAGTCGAGTGCATTGAATTCTGGGAAAACTGATGAAAGAGCGGCGCCGTGATACATTCCGCCGATCTTCTTGTGATTGTCTGAAAATGGTTTCCATATGATCGCTTCCAATTTTTCTCGATAGCTGCATGCGCAACCATCCAAAACAACAGCAGCAAACCAAAAAACATTTGCGAGTGGCCCGGATCTTCCCTCATCGCGCCAATTGCCTAAACATATCTTGGGACGACTTAGACGCTCGAAAAGATGATTGTAGATGATTAAATGGAAACTAGTCATCAGGGAGAGCTTTGATTGTATTCCACTGCACTGTTTACAGTTTTCTCGCTCCACTGTCTGTAACATGATAATGTAACGGAGGACTAAAAGCTAAAATTTAGCCTTCCAATTAATTACTAATGCCAAACGTGTATCTTTGACTGTACACTCCAAGATAGGTCAAATTATATTGCAGCATCGTTTTTGCTCATACAAATTTCGTTCCCTTTCGGAGTTATCTGCCTGAAACAATTTACCAAGAGTTAAGAGAACTTAATACTTCATCCATCTTCCAAAAATAAGATGGTTACCATTATTTTGCAGATTTATCAAAGAAGCTGATCAGCGGTTTACTCCAGCTGATTTATATGAAAAGTTGATTAACTTTAATACAGATAAATACAATTATTATTATGTTATGATGATGACGATGATGATGGTAATAATGATGATGATTATTATTATTTTATGGTGCATGCTTTACGGCAGGTATGTTGGTAATGCCGGAAATTTTAGTCCAATAATCAACTGGCAAGTTACTGCAAGCTACCTTAGACTTCAAGGACTCCTCAGAGGATCCTCGCTGATCCCCCCACATATAGCTATTTATTATCAATGTTATTTATTATTAATGTAATTACAAGAGTAGATTAGCTCCTGGTAATTATCAATATTGTGGCACATTTTTTGGGCCTCTTGATAGTTTGAGTTCATTTCTCTATTATGTTTCAGCTCAACGGGAGTGGTAATACGACTCTGACAGAAAAGGTGCAGACCATTAAGGACCTTCCGGGAAACATCTGGTTTCCGGAAAAGAGCAGACTTCACGTTCAGGTTGAAGTCATCGAAAGAGCGACTGGCAGTAAGGAAAGTGCCGTGGATAATTCATGTCTTTTTACATCAAGTCCCTACATTGTTGAGTTCAAGAATACTCCGAATTACTTTAAACCCGGATTTCCTTTTCGAGCTAAGGTATGATTTGGGAAAATCGCCATGGGTAGATTAGACTTTAATTACAAACCGTTGAAATATTTTTAGAAGAGCAGTGGAGCTTGTCTGGAGTCGTTTTAGGATACTTATCTTGGCATTTGCATGTCAGGCGCTATTTTTTTTTCGGACGAGCATACACTAACCAGTACCATATGTCGATGTCGCGTACTCATATTTATGATGTTATGATTCACGACGCGCTTTTTCAAGTTGTCCGCTGAACTTTTGGTAAGTGTCCCTTTCGCAAGATTTATCATTTATAACTGCATCTTGCTTAAACATCAACTTAACTATTTAATTCACGAAGACCAAAATTCAGCGAGAAGCAAAAACTACCAATTATGGACCCTCTCGCCGGTGGCTATGCTATGTTGGAAAACAAGGCGCATACTTTGCATTTATAACACTGCAGAAGATGAAACTAGAGGTTGTGCGCTTGGTAAGGTGCTGGCCATACAGCGGACTATGGTAATGTGTGCTTCTTACTGAAGTTTGGTCATATTTCACTTGCCTCGGGGGCAAATTGAAGGTAAAGTAGACTTAAAGTAGATACATCCACGAACAAGTGAAATATTTTGAAACACGAGAAGACAAATCTCGTATCTCCAAGAGGCCATGTATTAACGTTCTATTCATTACACAAACACCAATGGAATACCAAACCATTTCACTTTAAAAATATTAATAAAAAAGAATTACAGATTTCACTAGTTTCGTATACAAATTTGTGGTCCGAAATCATTTTATCATACTAAACACCAAGATTCCGCTTCAGCCTGTCAACCCTTGTAACTGTATAACGAAATCTAAGACAATGCTCCGGAACTGTACTACGGACACCTGGCTCTGTTCTTTTGCTGTGTTTTTTAATTCAGTATCTACTACAATTCAATTTCAGGCTGTAGTTACCCATCCTAACAAAAAGCCAGCCGTTGGTGTACGAGTCCTAATGGCAGCCAACTTTACTCGAGGCAAAGACAAAAGTATGGAAGTGAACCAGAAATTTGATAGAGATGACCCCAATTCAATCGGTCATACGGACTTGAACGGTGAAGTCGATTTTGCCATAAATACCCAGTCGAATTACCACCTCATCATTATTAAGGTACAGAAAAAGATAACACTATTTGTGTGTAAAAAAGGGTTTGGGTATTCGTCGTGGCAGACACAGTTAGACGTTTTTAAGTGAGGCCTTTTTCCTTGTGATTACATTGTAGATCCATTGACGGTACCAAATGTGTTTGTTAACTGTCTTACGATTAGCCAGAAATTTTGGGCAAAACCACAGCCCAAGAATGCCGGCAAAAAGTCTACTACTGGCCGGTTAACGTGTGTACTTCAAAAACTTCTTTGCTTAAGCTCCCCATTATAATGGGGTCTCATATTGCGTGATCATGTAGTCACTTCTATGTAGCTTGCGACTCCCGACTACTTACGACGGTATTCTTCAGGCGAGGTGACGATTGTACACCGTTGTGTCGGTCTGCTGAGCGGTAGGCTGTGAGTTCAAACTCCGTCCAGACCACTTACCAAGTTCTTTAAAAAGACTAGTGAGATCATGGTAGCTGTTTTTTAAACCCTTTCTCAGTTCAGAAGATCGCGTTATTGGGCGGTGACGTTAAACCGGCCTTTGGCCTTGTCTCCTTCATCCTTCCACATCAGCTGGAAGGGGTCGTTATAGAACCTGTGACATTGTTCGAGAAAGGTAGGGGATGTAGGCCCTGGTGTCATGGTCTACATGACTTGTGCCATCATTGGTTTGAGTGGGCAACTAAGGTGATCGAGATTTAAAAACATGGACTGAAGCGCGCGGCTGCTTAGTGCGCCTTTACATGCTGACGTACGATCCCCGATCTCACAAGTGAGGAAAGTTACCCCGTTATTGATTGATTGATTTTAGAAAAGACGACAGGAGTCGGCTATTGTTAATTCACTGGCCGTCTAGCAGGGGCAATAAGGATCGAAGGAACCAATCACAGCCGATCACTGTGATTCGAAATGCACGACGCAGTCACCCGACCTTATCGCATGAAAAAAGGCTAGCATATAGCAATAAGCAGGCAAAACGTAGCGATCTAAATCACAAGTGACTAAATCGAAAAACTATAGGGTGCCGTTTGTAAATTTATTGTTTAGGTCAAAATCATGCCGTTTTTTCGTTAGTAATAAATAATCGGGAGTTTTGGAAACTTTGTATATAAATCATTTGAAGGAACAAGTATTTACCGAATGATATGTAAACCATTTGCTTTCCCTGTTGTCTTGTTGTTTAACTTGATTATAGGTGAAAACGGACGATGATCGACTTGAAGAGAAATACAATGGAGTTGCCAATAAAGTAGTTAAACCATTTAACACAAATGGCCCTTTTATTATGATCCGCCAGAATGTGAAGAAAGGATCAGTAAAGGTGATGTACAATTCGTTGTTCCAATCGAAATCACCACAAGACATATGCTTGCATCAAAGTTATTGCATGTAAACATCATACTGGATAATAAATCATTTTTTAATTTATATTGCGCAAATATCATCAGAAAAACAGACTTTTCAAATGAGCATTACAACGACTTAAACAGGAAAACTGATATAGAAACTTAACAAGGTTGTTGGTATAAATGGTAAAATATTCCAAACGTTTCTATAGCTGAGTTAGGTTACAACTTGTTCCTAAATATTTAATATATAGATACACTCTTCTATGTCTGGTGTTATTATGGTCAAATTTCGACCCTACTCGTCCTTCTTTCCTCAGAGTCACACGCAGTGAGCGAAAAATTAATATTGTGTAAAATGGTTACAATTTCCGAACTAGAACTCGAATGATCGTTAGTTCAGTTCGAACTTCACCTAGAGCTCGGATTTTTTCTGATCTTTGAGCTTTCTGGTGTTTGATTTTTCTTCCAAATTATACTTTGCACCCTTGATTTTGAATGCTGATTGACAGCCGATTTTGACCAAGTCCCTCACACTTCAAAGATTTTCTTTTACACAAACGATCTCTCATGTGTTTGTGAAGCTCGTTTCATAGGATTAGCTTCAGGTCCGCAACGCCAAACAACGTGTCTCCCAGTTCGCGGGTGTTTCTTGGTGTTGGTTTGCCTGTGTGTTGTGGTGTGGGTATTGTTTAGTATCTTTTCAATCTTTTGTATTACGTCATTTGGTGATTGCACTCGTTCGCAACACCAAGAAAGAATCACAAAAAAAACCAATTCGCCACTTTAGAAACGAGAAGAGAACCCTTCCCGCGATGGTTTCTGGGATTGTTACTGGAGACGTGCCGGTCATCTATTGGCCAATTTTTCTCTGTCCCTAGTAACAGTCCCAGAAGTCTTTGCGAAAGTGATCTCGGTCCAGTTTCCCGTTTTTAAAGTAGCGAATGCTTATAACATAAAACTATCGTTTGAGGTCACGCTCTCCCCGGAGCCTTTTACAAACCTAACCATCATCTCGTTCTCAGCATCCGCGTTACCCTTGTCTAACGGAAAAGCGGTGTTTAGTGATATGAGCATCCCCACATTTTGGGCATCCCCATTCCCAAAACCCTAGTGATATGGGTATCCCCTTCTCATATTACCTTAGCGATTTGGGTAGAAACGAGGATACTGGGCCAGGCTAGCTTTTGCAAAGGCTTCTAGCTGCTTCTGGGTCTGTTACTTAGGACAAGAAGAAAATTGGCCAATAGCTGGCCGGCGCTTCCCATGGCCAGTAACGATCCTAGTAAAAATTGCGTGACAAACACCGGTTTCATTTTCCTTCTAGTTTCTAAAGTGGCAAATTGCGCACCCGCACAAGAGTAAAAGGGCGATTAGCCAATCGGAGGGCGCGCTTTGCTTTCTTTATATTATGACACTTCTAGGGAAGGGAAGAAATGTAACAAGAATTCATCTACCGTTGTTTCCCAGGTTAATGACAAAATGGAGTGCGAACTATTCCACAGTGAGCAAGCTGGAGCAGGCTCTCCCAAAAAACTATCGTTTGCAGTAAGACCAGTCTTGTTCATTAAACAATTTTAAAGTTGAATTTCAGCTCATATGATAGTGATTTCAGTTCAATTGAATGTAACTAAACCATTAGCACAATTTTTTTTTCGTAACACCTTGCTTGTTCTGCATAACTCTGCATATACTATCTCTTTGGAGAGCTTTATATATGAAAACAATCACACCGCTAAAAGTGTACTTAAAAGTGAATTGGCGCCGTTTCATAATTCATCGGTATTATGCCGTCTCGTGTAATTTGCAAAAAAAAAATCAAACAGGCGAATCAATTTCCGGTAGTTGAATTCTAATGGATTGTACAGCTCAGAAACAGATAAAGAAAATTTCACGTCGTAATCATGCAGTGAGAGAAAAGTAATGTACCAAAAGTTGTGATGTACGTACAGAGGTGTTGTTTATCTCATGAAATTAAAGCTATTGCCTTTCTGACGCTCTTGATGTCGTCGCCGTCATGTGCTTGTACCTATTCCTCTCGCGACTTCGCCGGTCGTTCCTTCGCGCGCTCACCGAGAAAACCACAGGTCTCAGTTACTCAAAAGTTGGATAGCGCCATCCATCGGATAAATCGCTATCCGATGGATACATATTTGGGAAACCAATTGCGCTATCCACTGGATAGAGATTTATTCAATGGATGGCGCTACCCACCTTTGGAAAAACTGGGGCCATCGTGCGTTGGGTACATCATAAGAATTTGACGAATTTGGCTTTTAAGGCCCTTTTTTAAAGTACTTGCTGCTGCCGTGCTGAACTCAATTGATAGAATAAAATTTGACCTTTATTACCTTGACGGCTTTTGAGAGATGGAAAGGAGTTCATGAAAATGTACGGTACATGTACATTGCAAGAGAACATAAAGTTTTTTGTCTAGTCAGTCAGGCAAATGAAAAAACTCATCTCGAAAACCAAATTGGGCTGCGCTGGAAGTCAAGTCGAGGAGCGACTAAAGAAGCACCAGCACTTCCTTCGATCCATATCTTCGCTCTTTAGCTAGCTCCACTGACGGTCAAAGAATAACTATTTGTAACCTGTACATTCTTTTCTAGGTGGTATCTCGTGGACGGATTCTCTCTCACGATATGGCCATTGCTTTAAATGGTGGGAAATCTAAAAGCTGGCAGTTTTATGTAACTCCGCAAATGTCTCCATCGGCGCGTCTGATTGGCTATTACATTGACAACAATGGAAACGTTGTAGCTGACAGCATCTTACTCGACGTTGAAGACAGTCTTCCAACCAAGGTATTAACCAATTGCCACGCACTTATAAGGGAAATTAATTTAGCTGTATTTTTGTTTTGGGTTTCTGGGTTTAATAATACAGACACCATGAAAATTGTGTGAATCTGAAGATAACTTTTACGTGAACAATAAGTAAAGGTATAGTTCTTTACATTTAAGGTAAGGTTGATCGGACAGCTATCATCTCTTGTCTTGTCAGGATATAATTGGTAGTTCCTGTAATGTGCAAAAAAACATGTTCATTTGAAAAGCAGTGCGTTCTCATGAAAACATGGTCACCTCCACCTTGGCTAGGAGTCTTATCCCTACCACCACTGTTAAATGACCCATTCTTAACTAAATATAACTTGCATTATAAAAATCGCCGGAGTGAGCACAACTTTATCCGAGACCCCCTACAGCATAATTAAGTTCCTCACTCTCATACCTGACAGTTGATACCCGCTAATGGGGGATGCTTTGAAAAAACGCAATGAATATGAAACCGTAAAAGAGCGGGTAGACAGATTTCATATTCTTGATTCCTTTTTCAGGTTGAATTCCATAAGCCCGGTAAAGACCAAATTTTTCCTGGATCTAAACTTGACCTCCGCATTGATACCACTGCTGGGACACGACTGGGAGTTGTAATTGTAGATGAAAGCGTTTACTTGTTAAGAGATAAAAACAGACTCACTAAAGAGCGGGTAAGTTTTAAAACTTTTGAGCCTTCGCTCATTTACATTTTTACTTTTAGTTTGGAACTAACAGCCTAATCACCCGTTTCCTGCGTTTTCCTGTACCTCTTATGCAACCTCTTTCCCAGGGTTCTCTTCTACGCGTCCTACCTCCGTGGGGCGGGTAGGAGAGAACCCTGGGAACGAGGTTGCCTCTTGTGACCTCATCAATTTCAACGGTCACAGGCAAATTTGAAATGGGGTGCGGGATGGGAGGGTGTTTTGGGTTACCTCGTTCCCAGAAACGACTCTGAGACCGAGCGATTCATTCTGAGAACCCATATATAAAAAGTAAAAAATATATACATCATCCTATTTTTGACAACAAATTTTTAATGGACATTCCACTCCACCTAGTATGTCCTTCAAAATAATTTCGGGATACACGTACGGGGTTTTCGTAGAAACGTTTCCGCGAAATAGAGCCAAGTAATTGCCCAGAAGAACAGAAAAAATAGGGGAACATGCGCTTTTGGATCCATACCCGTGAGTCTCTTTGATATTCAATAATACTCTTCAATAATATTTCACTATTATGTAATATTCTTAAGATATTCAAGGCTGCTGAGGATCTCGACCTTGGCTGCGGTGTGGGAGGAGGGAAGGACAGCAAAGACATTTTCAAGGTTGGTGTTGTCACAGGGTCTGACAGCATTTCAGGCCTAGGATAGGTTTTTATCAACTCGGCCGTAAGTTTTTAGTGAAGAAGATCTCGTTCGGTTTCTTTTGTACTGCCTCTGAATTAGTCCCAGCCGTATCCAAGATACAGTTAGCGATGGTTTTAGAGAATGGCTCGCAGATGAGCAGTCAGACTAACTTTAAGAACTTCTGGAATTCAGTTTTGAAGTTAGCCTACAAAATGTAAGACAGCTAAGAAAGACCGGGGGGGCGGGTACTCCTGGGAATTCTTGGTAGGGTGTGCCGCCCGGTTCTCCAAATCCTGCTCCTACGTCAGACCAAAAAATGTCATTTTTCACACCCGTTTTCAGACCTGGCCTCTAAAATCCATACCCGTTTTCAGACCTGGCCTCTAAATAAATTATGTCATCATCACTTATATTAGAACAACAACCAAAAAAAAGTTCTAAAAATCCATTTCGAATTCACATATTTATCTTTCTTTCTTTCTCGTTTGGAACTCAAGCGTACCTTAGTCCCATGTATACAGTTTACACACAGAGTTGTCAATAAAGTGCCAATGGAAACAGGTTTTCCTTGTATCCCTATGAAGAAAGTGATGGGAGAGGGGAGAGGGGTGCTCACTGGAGAAAGTGCATGTTTGATATTTTGGCCTTGGTGTGGGCGCTTATTCGGGGGAGGGCTCTCATTAGAGCTTGAGCGCTTATTCGAGGAAATACGGTATCTAATCTGATGTTTGAAGAAAGAGCAAAGCCAAATTGCAAGAAGACGGCGATGAGGGAAATCCGGACGATGTTTCTATCCCTTTTAATTATCTCCCCTCGCTTCGCTTCGGCTCGGGCTAACTATTCTAGGAGGTTACTTTTGACAGACCTATACCTGTTTTTTTTGTATTAACTTTTTGTAAAAACTGTTTTAACACCGTCGCGCTCACGCAGAGAAGGATGTAAATGTATCGTCAATCCGTGGTCGCTGCACCACTAACAACAATTACTGTACTCTGTCTTAATTTTCCCTTCTTTTAGAACGCTGGTGTTGTCTTGATGACTGACAACTTCGTTAGTGGTGCAAGAAGAGGTGAGTTTATAATGATCTTTCCCTAAATAGCCCACCTGTTTCTGAGAGAATTAAAATGGAAGCCATTAGGAAATTGAGCAATTTCAATTTTCAATGGATAAAACCTTGTACCAGAATAATTTCAAGCATATGGCATCTTTTTTTCACACTTTTCGAGGGCTATAAATAGGCTACTTCCGAGTTCCAAAAACCCTCACTTTCAAAATAAGGCTAGGTGCACAACCTTTCTTGTGAAAATGAGTTTTATTTGCATGAGAATGAAAAATGATTTCCATATCAAAGGCTGAGCACCTACCCTCATTTTGAAACAGAGGCCGGGGGAACTCGGAAATGGCCTATTAATAACTCCAAAGAAAAGGTCCTTATGGGGGCCTGAGAAAACATAGTTCAAAAGCTTCAAATTTCACAAAATGAAAAAATGAAATCCTACACATGACGATTTTACCTGTGTTTTCTCAATTTCTGTGAAATTTGAAATATATTTTCTCTGGCTCCAATAAGAAATTGTCTTTGGCGTTATTACAGATAACTTATTATATGTATAGCCCTTGAAAAGTGTGAAAAAGAATGGGATATGATGATTCCGTCATAATAGCTGAGGACTACTATAGACAAATTTCGTTTGCCAGCAGACAGTCAACAGGTGGTAAGCGTAAAAGTGGCTTACTTTGTCTGCTGGAAATTCTCATAATAATCGCCTCTTCTGTTTAAAATTATGTTCGGTCATTTAAGTTTTGTTTTACGTCTCCTTGGACTGCAAAACAGTCCGTATTTTTACGTATTCAAGTACGCGCGAGCAGTCAAACAAAAAGTCTGGAGCGTGTGAGACTCTCGCGCTTCGCGCGAGTGAGGCTTTTAGGCTACACTAAACCAATTTTGAGAAAAAAACCCACTGTTTAACTTTGCAGTCTAACTTCTCCTCGATACCCGAAAAATTTTTTGGCCTTTCAGACCTTCTTTAATTTCACAAATATGGAAGCGAGCCTGGAACAAGCCCTTATAATATATTTAGGTCACGGAGGCCATATATTGGTGTTCCAGACCAATACTGTGGGATGATAGCTCTTTTCTTATACAAACACTTTGATTTGTTCAAAACAATGTGCATAAATGCTGGCCACGTGAGTAAAAACGCTCTATATAAAAAAAGAAATTCGCCTTCTTTATTTTACATTATTATTCATTCATTCAAAATATATCCCCGATTCTGATTGGCTAAAAGCACACGCATAATTCACCATAACTAGTAACTGATGACCAAATTTGGAAGAATTTTGTGTTTAACGAGGAAATGACGTCAAAAATGCAGCGTTCTTGAAGGTTAAGGCACCGTTAAGCGAGAAGACCTGGGGACGAGGACGAGTTGTTTTGGTTGTGAAAACAAAAAATGGCGGACATTTCACTCGCTTCAAAAGTAAGAACTAGGCGAAATTATAGCTAAAAACATGGCAAGAACAGCAAGAACACAACTCGAAGGGCGACATCTGCTATTTGGAGAATATTTGCGGAGCTAAAAAAACCCTAAACATGCACTATCAAAGGTGAACTTAACATCGATGGAGGTAAGCATGTTTTAGCTTTGTTTTTAAACTAGGAATTATATTGAATGAATAATAAAACAATTATTGAATTCGGCTTTCGTATCATATGAAGAATTATGGAGACCTCGGAGGGTGTTATCCGCCTCGGCCTACGGCCTCGACGGATAAAACCCTCCTCGATTTCCATAATTCTTCATAAGATAATCAGCCTCATTCATTAATTGTTAAGTATCACATTGTTCGGAATCACTATTTTGTTCACGGCCATTACTGTAAGACAAAGACGGTGTTTTTTGAAACCTTGTCTATAAATTTTAGCTGTCGAAGTAGCTCGCAGAAACCTTATCAGGTGAAAGATTATTGATCAAAAACTTTGAAGACATTTAACAGATTTGCTAATCCTTTCCTTTTTTTTCGTGTAGTACTGTAAGCCTATATTTTCTTTCAACTTTGTTTTCAGACTATGGATGTAGTGACGACGAGTCCAGAAAAAAAAGAAGTGTTGAGGATGACTCGGGTACGAAAATGCCATGTTCCTTATGTATTTACAAATCAGAAGAAGATCTATTTTATTTCAAGCAAACGTCAAATACCCAAATAAACCCCTCAATGCGACCGGGAATAAAGCTAAGAAACAAAGAGGGAAAGACTGTTTCGCCGTTTTGCCCCCAATTGCTGGAAATAGTTGACCTATTTCATTCTAAAATTTACATTTCATGCCCAGTGTGAGGGAAATTTTTAATACGTCGCTCTCATTTAACTTGTTGTGTTGTTAATTCAACAGAGGAAAAAATATGCTGCGATATGGCTAGGGACACGGAAAATGTGACGTGCGTTAGACTAGCTTTTGACAGCAACAAAGATTTAAGCTATCGATGCAAAAACGCCTTTTGGAATTGCTGTATTAAACTGCATGGCGAGGAAGGTAACTCATTCTAGGATCAGCTGACGTCATTCAATAGGTCGCCATCTTGAATTCTACTGAAATTCCAATTTGATTTATTGTATTCAGTAGTGAAAACGTAAACAATAGGGTCACCAATAGGTTTTTCGGGATCCTCAGTATACCTTAATTGAAGACTCCTCGTCCATGTCGATTTACAAAACTTAAACTTAAACTAACAGTTATAGGGTTTTCCTTGGAGTGCTTACCGTATTTATTCGAATAAGCGCCCATCCCTCCTCCTCCCAATCAAACTCAAATAAGCGCTCACCCCACCCCACCCACTTGAGTGAATAAATTCTAATAAGAGACTTCCCCGAGGACGGAGTTTTCTTCAGAGTATTTTACAGAAACCTTGCTTTGTTGCTTCTTCACGTTTTGTTATTAGCACTTATTGTTTTGTTGCAAAATAAACATACTTCACTTGCTGAAAATGGTGAAAATTTAATAAGCGCCCAGCCTCGAATAAGCGCCCACTCTCAATGTCCAAAAATTTAATAAGCGCCCAGGGCGGTTAATCGAATAAATACGGTATCATCCTTTTTGTAAACTGGAGTCCAGACTCCACGCTTCCAATCTCTTGGCCAGACACAGTTACGTATACATGAATTGAAAAGAGTAGTAACTGGTTTGGCCAATTCATCGGCTGCAATTTTCAACACTTTGGCCGGGATATTGTCTTAGCCAGTGGCCTTGTTAGTGTTCAGAGATTCTAAAGCAGCTAGGACTTGACTTTGCGTGATAGCACAGAATAGAATAATAGCATAGCACCCATAGCACAGAAGAGAATAAAGGGGCCCGTTTTACAGTCGAACCTCCTTTAACGCATGTGATAGATTTGTTTCAAAACAATAGGAAACGGGCTTCGAAACCGATACACTTGCCAAAACAATCATAAGGGTTCCACAAAGCCCGGGGGGGGGGGGGGGGCACAAAAAAAAAAGCTCCTAAAACCAACAAAAAACGAAGAGGGGCACGGCGGGGGGGGGGGGGGGGCGTGCGGAACACAAAGTAACAGGCTTCTAAACCGATACACATGCCAAACATTCGGACTTCTGAGACAAAATTACAATTCTCCCAACGGTGCACTGTCATCAAAGATCTGTTCTCAATCGAAAAACTACTCTGTTCAGAATGTCACATGATCATGTGCTCCAAACGTGATCACCTACATGTAAGACCAAAAATGTCACGCGTGACGACGTGTGACAACGGACACCTCCCGTAAGCGGACCCGTACCCTTAATCCCGAGGGAGGCTCGACTGTAATAGCACAAACAATTACAAAGGCGCTGGACAATACCCAGTCACACTACGAGAAAACCTAGTCACAGTAGTTTTAATTTGCAACATCATGACACATCATTTTTCATTATCAAATGAAAAAATGCATTTAGATTCTTAGTCGTTCTTCTATCCTTGCTCATTAGACGCAGCTCTTCTTGGTCGAAGTGCTGGATTTGAGTTTAATAGGGAGTTGGAGGATTCTATAAGCCAGAGTCAAGTGAGAAAATATTTCCCAGAAGCCTGGTTCTATGAAGAATTTGATGTAGGGTAAGATCTGTGAAATATCAAACCATTTAAGTCTATTTGCATATTCATCAGTTTTAAGTAGGCATTTTAGCGTGATCACATCTGCAGTCGTTACCCTCTAAACAAAAGCACTTCCTGTTTTGGGGACTTCAACAACTGCATAGTTACCTCCAACGTGAGCTGTATATAAATAAGCTTGGTTTAAAGTACGTTATGTAAAATGTGTGATTAAACAAAGTTGTCTACCTTCATGTTTTAGTCTTGTTTTTTGAATGAATAAAATTTTAAAAAATATCATTTTAATCAAAACGCAAATTTTTTTCCAAAACGTTCGTGTAGTTCATTTTCGCTGTAGCTGGTCTACATCTGCACTCATAATTTTAGGCCTAGTTTTTTCTTAGTAATGCTTGATTTTCCTTTTCCAACTTTTCAATTATTCACAATTGTAAATAGTTTTCTATCGTGGACATATATTTAGTTTTTAATTTGTAAACAATACGATATAATTTAAAATTGTAAATAATGCTTATTGTTCTGATACTTAAATAAAGATTGGTTATGTGACCTTTCAGTTAACAGGGTAAAGATTATTAGGTTACAGGCACCTGTCGGACTTGAATAAAATAGTATTCAGTTTGTAATTTAAATTGTATCATTAGTAACCCTTTCATTCAGTTTTTATCCTGCAATGTTGTTAAAAAAACAACATATTATAAAATAATATTATTATTATAATGATAATAAATTAATATTATTGTCATATAGCTGGAAATTTCTTCTCAACACGACCGCTCGCGGTCTCATTGGTTACTTCGAGGTCACATGACATCTGACAATGAAAGTGTTTCCCGCCAAAATCTCTGAGTGGGCAACATTGCAAAAAATCTATGACGTCAGAGGGTAACAGTGTAATGTTACCCGTGAAATTTGACAGATGACCGTCGTTTCTGGGAGGTTTAATGAATTTCTAGCTTCAAAATTTCCAGCTATATAACAAATCACTTAAAGACTGGTCCCTCGGGAAACAATAAATTTTGAATCTCAATGGAAACATTGAAATTCGAGGGAAACAAAATTAACTGTTTCCCTCGTGACCAGTCAGTAAGTGTTTATTATCATCATTATTATCATTACTTTTATTATTATCATTATTATTATTATTATTATTAATATCATTATTATTATTATTATTATTATCATTATTATTATTAGTAGTATTATTACATCGCTCGTTTCCCTTGGCTTTTTCTTTATAGATCCAGTGGAGTGTTCTCCCAAACTATAACTTTGCCCGGTACCATAACCACGTGGGTAATGCAGGCCGTGGCTATCAACAACCAGACTGGACTTGGACTAGCGACGCCGCTTCGAATTGTGTCAGAGAAGAATTTTTTTGTCACTTTGAAGATGCCATATTCAGTAAAGAGAGGTGAACAGGTTTCTCTTGTGGCAACAGTCTTCAATTACGCCGAAAAGGGGATTGACCAATTACTACAGGTGAGATTACAATAAAATCATATCTAGAGCAATTCTGTTCACACACAATATTTTCTCCTTAGTCCAGAAGCGTTGTAAAATGCTGAGTCATCATTACCATCTTCTACCAAGGCCAAACTCAAGCTCCGAACTTTTATAAAAATAGTTTTTAAAGGAGGCAGACTATGGACTGTTGATTCAGCATTAAGACTGTACATAGTCCGAACCCTGCCATGTGCCACATGTGCCATGTGCGCCAGAAAGACTGTACATGTCCTAGTCCTCTTTTTTTGGCGTAAACAAATAGACCTTTGTCCCGCAGCGGCCATTTTGTCTCTGGAGATTTAAAAGCTGTGTCTATGCATGGCTAGCCTCGTAGAGAGAATGAGGCTAGGCGTGCACTTAACACAGCTTTTTAAATCTCCTGAGACAAAATGGCCGCCGTGTGACAAAGGTCTATACCATCTTGAAAGCTAGCTGTTGAAATTTAGGATAAGTGGTTTGCATTTTATCGGATCCCTTCCATAATTTAATTTAGTGGAATTTCTCCGGTTGTTCAAACGTTGCATAGCGCTTTAATATCCCCCGGATAAATCAATACTCAGTGGATAAGTATTAAGGAAATCAATTGCTTTATCCACTATCTGCCTTTTGAACAACTGGGGCCAGATAAAAAAATCGCTGCTACAGCTACTTTATTTGAAGTTTTGTTGTTCTGTTCATGAGAAAAGCCCCGTGCAAACGGATGCAACTTTGTTGGCCAACAACTCCTGTCATTGTTGGATGCTACATGTTACCTTCGTTTGCACATCCTGTTGCATCTTGTTGGAAGATATTGCGCATTTAATTTTAAACCGGTCAAACTTTTGAAGCCAACAACTTCCATTTGTCGCCGAAGCGTCGCGCAACAATGTTGAATCCCTGTGCACAGCTCTTCCAACATTGTTGAGGCCACGCACGCGCATAACACATGCTTTACAAAGTCTTATGGGTTGTATCCTTCCCACGATGCACTACAGGTCCGAATATTGTTGGAGTTGTTGCATCCGTTTGCACACAGCTGCCACCACGAACGTAACAACTCGCACCATTGTTGGCCCAACAATGATGGGAGTTATTCCGTCTGTTTGCACTTCCGCCCGGGCTTTTTTTTCGCTTCCTGCGAGAGGAGGTGGGTTGGGGGGGACTCCAAAGGCTCCCAGCCAAAAGCCTTCCTGGTCTGAATAGGGTTAACCTGCACCCCCAACTTACAACCCGCACCAGCTACATTTAACTTGAGAAGTTTGGAGAGCACTCAAGAAGCTAGAGTTGCGAGCTACGCCTCGAACAATGCAACTCTTAAGGCTGATTTAGACGGTCGGCGATTTTTGCTTACGACTTTCGTGAGCGACTAGCATACGTCATAATTTTCGACCATCCACACGCGCACAATTTTCACTTACGACTTCTACACGTGTCGTACGGATGTCGTGGGTCTAATTTACACGACACGATCTGACGTGAAGGCATGACGTGTGCTGGTTGCGTATGACAGTCGTAAGTAAAAATCGTACCGTCTAAATCGGTCTTTACGCTTCTCTCGTGCTCTTCAAACTTCCCATGCGCACTGATCCATAACCCGATAAACGCACGCTAAGCATGAACAAATTCTTAAATTTTTTTCGCGTTTTTCAGGTGAACAAAGGGAAGCGCATGTCTTGCACTCCGCGTTCGCCTTGCGCTTGCCTTCCCTCACCTGAAAAAAGCGGGCCATTTCAGACCCGGTGCTCGGTGCATTTCTGTTTTGTTCCATTTCAGACCTACAATTGAGAACAATTACGGTATGTCGTTGTGGAACTCGACTTTTTTTCTAAGAAAAAAGCCCCCAGCGAGACAGAAATTATTCTTTTCGGCAGTAAAACTTAAAGGAATTATGATTTTGGACTGTGTTTGCATGTGTATAGAAGTGGATCACGTGATTAAGATGTGCACCAACATGGCGGGTATTAATTCCGTGACGTCGATCACGTGAAAACGATCTATTGATGAAAAGTGTCCAAATTTCTTCTTGAGGCTTTATTTTCGAACTCGAGGAGCGTTGATTAGCAAATTTCGGGTTGAAAACTTGGGCCATTTTGAGACTCCAACAACGAAAACTGTTGTTCTTACTTTTTGCGAGAACAAGTTATATCAGATTACTTATCTACCTAAAAACTATTTATGGACAGAAAAATGAAGGAAATCGATTTTTCAACTCTTGCCACTCGATGCTCCATATTTCCTGACCGTCGCTCTTAAAACTTCACTGCAGATAACTTAAATTACACCAGTGCTACCTTTTTTAGTTCATCGATCGGTACGGGGGTTTGTTCCAGGCCGGACGCCGGACGCAGCGTCCGGTTGTTTCACATGTAACGTCCGGTAGTTCACACACGATAAAATTATTTTTTGATGTGAAAATCGTTTCCTTTGTAACCATCTGTAACTTGCACTATTTCAGATTAAAACTCGTTTTGGAATCTACTAAAAAACGAACAACTGCAAACCGATAATATCATAATTTCTAAAATAATAAAATACTTCATCTTTTATAAGCATATTTTAATGTCTTAAAATACTTCCCGGTTAACCAATTCCTGCCCAGGGAACGCAGAAATTGCATTTTAAAGAGTCCAATTTAAAGATTTCCCGGAGAGGATGCCCAAAGAACCCCTAGAAGTACAAGCCTCCGGCACGGTGCAAGTCCGCCAGCTGAACATCTGCATCTAGTACTCCCAAATGCTACAAGACCTTGTTTGAATTTCAAAGCAAATAGTTATGTTTCGTTTCTATTTGATTTGTCAGGTGAAACTGTATCTCAAAGGTGACAAAGATTTCTGTTCTATTGCTTCTGACAACAAATACGCATTTATTGGAATTATTAATGTACCCGCCAATGACGCCGGTTCAGTCACAGTTCCCATCATTCCCAAGATAGTCGGAGAAGTAAATGTTGAAGTGATGGCTATAGGTACAATCCCTGGGTTAGTAGGTGCAACAGGAGGTATGGATGCCGTGCGAAAACCCCTTCTTGTTGTGGTGAGTCTATTGGTTTGTTTGTTTTTAGGTTTTTAGCCGAAATGCTCTTACCCCATTCCACGGGGGGATCCAAGAGTTTTGTTCAGGCGGAGAGGGGGGCAACAACTTGTGCACGAAGTTGAATCTAATAATATACGGCCCTTACACGCCGTTACACATAAGGCCCTACAGCGTAGACCGGCACCAGTGCTGTTGTGATAAGCGCAGTACATGTGACATTCTATTCATAAAGGACCCAGGCCAGCAAAATCATTCTTCTTGTCTAGATTATGTAATAGAATTTAGATCAGCTAAATTTGGCAACGTGCATCCCAACTTTGTTTTTAAGCTAGGGGATAAAGGCTGTATGCAAATCTTCAAAGCAATTAAGAAATTACTTGAAATAATCCTCCGGTCTGATGGACATACGTATGTTGATCAGAGAGGCCCGGCGAAATTAACGGGGGAAAACATTCTTGGAAAACAACAACAAAAACATCGTGTTTGTCAAACAGGCATTTATTTTTGGTTTTTAAATACAATTTAATTTCAGCCAGAAGGAAAGGAACACCGAAAGTCACAAAATTTGGTGCTGGATCCAAGTGGTAATATTATTGTATTAATATCATAGGTGACGAATTATTCCTTAATTTTGGCGCGAAATTTCAGCGTTAATTTGTAATTTCACATGTGAAATTACTAAATTGCCATGGCAACCTGCCGTACGTCTCCGTTTCAAGATGGCGACGAAGTTTTAAAATGTCGTAAATGAAGATGTCAGGGCATAAAAAGACGCTTTAGAAAACCTGAACACACGAAAGAGCACCTCAAGAAGGATTCTTAGAGGTATGTTGTCGAAAAATTCTGAAAACTTAAGCCAAATTTCTGCTCTAAACGTTTGAGAGAGTGGAGTTCACGATCGATCGATACGATCCAGGGTAAACAAGTCAAAAATCCTCGATTGCTAAGGTAATTCGTCACCCATGATATTAATAGGTAATCAAATGGTATACTCGTGAAATTAGGGAATAATTTCACTTACGTTTTGTCCAAATTCTAATAATTTCCCTCGCCTAAAGGCTCGGGAAATTATAAGGATTTGGACAAAACGCGCGTGAAATTATTCCCTAATTTCACTCGTCACCATTTGATTACACATACTAATGTAACGTAAATAATTCGCCCTTGAACCTGAATCGCCACTAACCGTTCATGCGGATCCACTTCCCTTGTATCGCTTGTGACTTCATCAGTTTTCATAGTCAAGGATAATATGTATTTAACTTGTACTGGGGGAATAGATCTTTTAATACCAGAATGAGCACAATTCACTCGAGGAGGCGGAGAAAAAGGCAAAAAAAACCCGTATAAAGCAGACCCAAGAATTCCGTTAAAAATCTTAACTTTTCCCACCGAAATGAAGCCTTGTAAATGCCCACCAAAAGACAAAAAAGGGGGAAGAAAAGCGAAAGAAGAGAGGAGGAGGGAAAGTGAAAATCTCCAAATTCTGATTTCTACTTATGCCCGAAGCTGATATATCTGGAAATGATGACCTCGTAATACACGGCCTGTAAACGGCCCAGTGTGGCTACCAGGTTTTAGCTTTTAATAGCTAGCGCAGCCAGACAGTAACCAGAAATAAATTGACTTTTAAACTGCAAAGGAGCGCAAACGAGTATGCCACAAAACGTAGGATCTATAAAAGACCTGACCAGCAAAAATATACACTGAGTAGACACACTGAATTCTGCAAAGCTGATCGTACTACGTGAAAATGAACTTTGCAAGACATCAACACAACACCGAAAGAACCCAAAACATAGCGGGTCGTAGCCGTAGTCAGCTGTTTCGGCATTTTTGTGGCTCGTCAGTACGGCGCAACGAACAGAGAGGCTCTACTGTAAAATTCCCGCACAGCCTGTTTTAGAGCCCTGCAAGAGCCATAATGGTCCTATTATGATCTCTTGAACCCTGACATTGAACTCAAACACTCACAGAATCACGGCATATCACGTGTCCTCGAGAGGGCAAGAGTCCAAGTGTCACGTTGATGTCTCACAAAGAGAATATAAGAAAGACAAAACCAACCTTAGGAACATGCAAAAATTAACAGCATATCGGATCTATAAAAAAGAAATAGGTCCCAAGAAACACGGCTTGACTAGCTTCAAAACGCGTTTTTCGGCAAACTTTCAGTTGCGAATATGTTAACATGCATACACTGCGAAAGGAGATAGCATTTCCTCCTCCTGCTCTCTAAGCTACCACTGCTTTTTTGTCTCGACGTCTTTCCAGCCGGCCATACGGACATATGGCTGTAGTAGTACGCGCGCTATAATTGGCTGGGCATTGCTAGCTGGGTGTCCAAGGTATATGCAATCTGTGCTGACATCCAGTGGACATCTATGTTATGATCAGCTGTCAAAAAGGGCATCTACTGACCAGTGTCACATGACTGTATCGCGGGCTCAAGTGTACAACTCACTGAGGAGAATTTTTTTTAAAAGTTATCCACTGACCGGTTATTGGTTTTAATTGATCGCAGGCTCAAAATTTCTTGTTAAAAAAAAACTGTTTCTTTGTGCTTTCGATCGCATCGCCATGTTTGTTTCGGTTCAGTGAACATTGTCTCGAACAACCTCTTGCGCGCGGATGCGGTGTTTTCCATTTTAATAATAGCGCTATAAAGGCCATAAAATAAATAACTTCCGTTCGGTCATTACAGGGGAATATAATATTCAGTTACCCAAGCTAAGCCATGAGCAGCACGCATTGTACCGCCCAGAAAGAGAACTGGTTTTCTACCTTTTTGGGCCTGTAATATCCGCTAAGCCATCTCTCTCCCCCACCCCCCCCCCCCCCCCCCCCCCACACCCCCTGTTCCCCCCCGCCCCCCACGTACTGCTCCCTCCACAAAATTTTTTTTTCCACCCCATCATCTGCCCCCCACACAAATAACCCCACCTCTCTGTGCGGCGGGTGTGGTTGTTTTCCTTTTTAAAATAACGCTAAAAAAGGCTAAAAAAAAAAAAATCTCCCGGTGGTAATAAAGGGGGAAAAAAATTTTTGCTTTCCCAACACGACCACTGAGCCGCACCCCTTTTCCCCCCCAAAAAAGAACCTGTTTTTTCCCCTTTTTGGGCCGTTAAATACCCCCAGCCCCCCCCCCCCCCCCCCCCCCCCCCCCCCCGCCACAAGCTCTGTTCTAGCCACTGCTGCATGATGTCGTTCTTCCAATAACTATTTTTTCAACCTACGTACGGCTTCGCCCCAAGGATTAAAACTCCACACTGATGGGAGGCGCGTATTCTCACCAGTATGTAGCCCTTACTCCCCAGGAGAGACTGGAAAATGGAAATGAACTATTTTTAAAATTGCTTCTTTATTTTAGGAAATCTTAACGATGGGGCCAAAAATGGAAAAGGTATGTATCACCGTTCCACAAGTATAAGAGTTACTAAGCCAAATCTGTTAGCTCTTTTCCACCAAAAGATTTGAAACTGCTATTTGTCCTAGGTACCTAGCTTCACCTTTGCACCAATTGATTTTTTGTTTTTCTTGCAGTCAACAATTATTTCTCCTTCATAGAAATTAACAGCCTAATTGAGAACTTACTTAGCCTAAACTATCAATAGCTACCCCAAAATACAAGAACTTTCTTTTTCCAGACTTACGGGTTCTTATTCGTGGGTTTTTACTGTATTATTTGTTTTTAAGATTCATTCCAGTCTGATGAAATTGAACTGAAGGTTCCCGATCTTAAGAAAGCCATTCCAAACTCACTAGAAGCCAAGCTCTACGTGTCAGGTGAGAAGCTATTTTGCATGTAAAAAAATCGATCAGATATCTGCAAGTTCTGTAGGGCAGAAGATCATACAAGTAACGTGGTGCAGGTTGTGCAGAAAGGGCATAGCAAGTGACTTACATCTTATCCAGGTGCGGTGCGTTAGCACAGAAATGACTCAGTATTAAAGGTACTGTACGCTACATGATTCGGGGCTCAAAGACGAGGTACCACCTTGGTACTATCTGGTCTTCGGATGTCAGGCATACCGGAATGTGACAGTCTTTGCAGAACATTAAGAAGTGAGATCCGGCAGAATTGATGCTCCAATCGTCAAAAGCAAGAGCAATTAATTAATCACACTTGAAATGAGCTCTCCATGGGTTAACAACAGAAAGACCATGCGAGGAGAAGACCCCTGTGTTTGGTCAATTAAATTGAACAGCACAACGTTATCATAGATACGCTTGGTGGAAGGGGGGAGGGATGAACACTGCGATGCACGAAATCGTAGGGACCAGAAGTAGGGAGGTGCTTGGGAGGATGCAGAAGACGGTGCTGTAAGGAACACAAAAAAATTTCAAGCTAGATTACAGGCACTCGCGTAATGATTCGAATATATAACAAGCACATTTAAAATCTAACAGAAAATAACAAAATAAAAATTCCCGGCTGGCAGGAGGCAACCAGTCGGCTATTTAGGAGCCTTTACGAGGATGTGAACTCGGGACTAAGAAACGAATCCAACTAGCGGTCAGAGCGTGACGAGAATAGGGGCTTTTAGATCCAACAACGCGGACAGCAACGAGAACTTCGAAAAAACAATATCAAAACAACAACTTCGCACATGCATCACACATCTTTCCGGTTCTGCACGACTATTAGCTACGACGTGAAAATGCCTAATTTCGCGTTTTATGGAGGATGTAAACAAGCAACGACGAAATTTTATTTCTGTTTCTGAGCTTGGCCATAGTCACTTGAAATTCAGCTTCAGCAGGGTTCGCCTACCATGACAAAGTGGGTGGGTAGGAATAATCGCTAGAAAGACTGAAAAAACGCAAATTCACTTTTTACGCGACGTTCTTATTGCCTTCACGTCGTTAATTTGATCTTAAAGTCCCCAATAACCTGTGACCGCCGGATTGAGAGTGCTACTTGTTGACCACTAGGCCACACTGTCTTAAGTGCCAACCGACTTTTGCGAGGGTTGCGAGATACGTATATCTAATATAATGATAACATTGGCAATGACAATAACAAAAACAACTAGCCATGTTCCCAGAAATGCTAAAACGTATTCCTTTGCAGGAAATCTTGTTGGTCCTGTTGTCAACACTACCATTGAGGGTGGACTTGAGAGGTTTATCCGTCAACCAACTGGGTGCGGGGAACAGAATATGATTTATCTCGCCCCAAATGTCTACGTCTTAGAATATCTCATGAACACCAAGCAGGTGACTGGAGCAAACGAAGAAAATGCCTACCGCTTCATTCAATCAGGTAAACTCTTAAACTTCATTTAAATAAATATTATCAGAAGCATATAATATGCTATAAATTGCAGATTTTAGCATCATTCAGAATGTTTTCACCGATATCACTCAGGAATACCTTATGAATGAAGATGATTAAAATTTAGAAATAAAGAATACAGACGAATAAAAAAAGAAAAAAAGAAAAGAAAAGAGAAAGAACACATTCGATGACAACGTTTTCATCACAGTTCCAATCACAATTAGCTTCTTCCTAGCTGTCTGTTTGTTAGAATGGTGTCTTTAAGGTGTAAATAAAACTATAGCCATGGCTAGGTTGGTCTCTTCCCCGACTACTTCACATAGCCTCGATCTAGTGCCTATTTTTAGACTACACGCTCTTAAACCGAATTCATCCTTAACAGGCTACGACAGGGAACTGAATTATCGTAGGGATGACAAGTCGTTTAGTGCTTTTGGAAATGACCGCCCTGGAAGTACATGGTATGTGAACGCTCATTATTCGTATTTAAATGTTTTAGAGCTCCAGAGTTCGGACTTCCTTTAAAATTTTGGTCTAAGAAAGTCCTGTTTTTCACATGTCTTGAAAACGTTAGTTCAGAGGGCTGTGAGGCCTTTTTGATCTTAGGGGATTTTTTATGGCTTTATACAGTGAAATGCATGTCTAGGGCCGATGTCTGTCAAGTGAGCTGAACCAGAGCCGAGTTTGCTAGCTCGATGCTGTCACAACTTGAATAGTCCAAAATATTATTATTATTATTATTATTATTATTATTATTATTATTATTATTATTACTCAAAATGTGAAATTCTTTTCGTATCTGAAGGTTGACAGCATTTGTAATGAGGGTATTTTGCAAGATTCAAGAATTTGCTGGGATAGATATTGATGAAAAGCTTCTGTGTGACTCGGTGAACTGGCTTATTCAGAACCAGCGAGATGATGGCGCCCTGCCCGAGATCAACATGGTGATTCATAGAGAGATGGTGGTAAGATATGTGCGACCCTATTTTAGGAACCCAGTAATAGTCAATCCGGTCGTGAAAATGCGACCCCATCCAGCGGCACATACCCATAAGCCTACTAGAGGAAGTACCCCCCCGCCCCCTCCACCCCCGGGCTCATATAACAAATCTCCAAGAACCGATTATCTGTGGACGTGATAAATCTTATCGGAAGAAAGTAAACGGCGAACCAGATGTTTTTCATAGTACGCCTATGTAATTTGAGGCAAGACACCCAAGGAGCCATAGGAAACGCAAGAATAGACCTTATTCACGATACCCACCATCTTTGCACGTGCTTTAGGATTGATGGGATAAAAGCAATGTCACGTGGTATTTCAGGAGGCAAACAAAAGATAAAATTTGCAAATTTGAGAAATCGCGGTCGACTTTGTTCATTCTCTCAAAACGAAACGACGATTTTTATATTAAAATAGTCATACAAAATTTACGATTATTTTTTGAGTTTCGACAAAATTGACGTCATTATCGCTTGCTCTGAGGACATCTACGGTTGCTTCTATATCCAAAAAAGGAAAAAATGTTCACTTCCACCCGCCCATAACTTGCTATCATCGTCTTTAATATAAAAAGTTGTTCATTTTCTATTGTCAAGAATAAACAAACTCAACCGCGATTTCTTGTATTGGAAAAATTTATCACTTGTTTGCCCCCTGAGAAGCCACGTGTGACATCGCTTTTACCTCATCAGTCCTTAAGCACGTGCAAAGATGTCGGGCATCGTCAATTAGGTCTATTTATAGTGTGCTTCTCGCCTCGGGGCTTGCAGAAATGAGGCAAAAAGGCGCGTCCTTCGTAAGACAGGTCTCATGATGGCTCGACCCGATTTTTCATTAACAACAACTACCCTTTAATAACTACTAACTCTTTGAGGGCACGAAGTGCAAAGATGCATCAACAAAGCAGTAAATCGCATTGTACCTTTTTGTCTGGTTTCTTTGATGTTTTGTGTGGTAGAGGTAAAATCTACTTTTATCCATAACAACACAGTGACACCATTATTAAGATTCCTACCTTAAGAAGTATTGTATTATGTTCGTAAAATCTTAAGCAGGCAACGATCGACAATTCATTAGCAATTAATGAAGGAGGCTGAGTAAGATATGCAGAATTAAGCAGATTGAGGAGGGTGTTATCCACAGAGGCCGAAGGCCTCAACCTTCCCAGGTCTTCTCGGTTAACGGTGCATTAACCTGTAGAAGGCTGCATTTTTGACGTCATTTCCTCGTTAAAAATAAAATTCTTCCAAATTTGGTCATCAGTAAGTGGTTATGGTGAATTATGCGTGTGCTTTTAGCCAATCAGAATTGGGCAAATATTTTAAATGAATAATAATTAATATTAATTTTTGGTTCATTTAAGGGTGGAATCTATACGGAAGGAGATGTTGCTATGACAGCATTTGTTGTATCCACCCTGGCAGAATGCAAATGCAAAGGAGTGGTACGTGATAGACACCATTAGCAAAAATGGGTGTGACAGAATGTCATTTGTATTGTAAAGCTCTTCTATTTTGTGAATAAATACTTAAGATTCCAGTATTAAAATAATAACCTAATAAAATATATTTAATTTAACTCCTTCACAGAATACCGTAGAGGCTATACAGCGTGCCACAGACTACCTCGAGAGACAATATCAGACTCTAAACCGACCATACAGCATGGCACTGACAGCTTATGCCCTGAGCTTAGTGAATAGCACAAAAAAATTCAGAGCAAACGATAGACTCGTGCAGAATGCTATCTACGATAGTGGTAAGTCGCACAGTACACTGACAGTATAGGATATTGATATCAATTCATGTTACCGTCGAGATTGCCTAGTTGCATACACTATTTTTACCAGAAAAGTAAGTGCGCATATTACCGGGAGAGGATTGAGAAAAATTTAAAAAATATATATTGGAATAAGCGTGGGTATTGGGAAAATGAAAAAATGGAAATAGGACATTTTTGTGCCAATGGAATTTTTAATCATAGTGGATTTATCCATGTTGACTTCGTAAGTGAGCTTAAGCCGGCAACCACGTGGCTTACACGAGGGCGACGACAGCGAGAACGCCGTTTCAAACCTAATCGCTAATAGGTCCTGATATTCAATCTCTTTCAATTTGTCAGATATAATTTTGCTGGAGTTCAATCCCTAAGCTTTAGGAAAAAAGAGAGAGGGGGAGAAAAAAAATCGTCGTCTTGTCCCTAATACGTTCACCATGAAGCTTAATTAATACAAAATTAGAAAGTTTCACGTCGTTACAGTGATGGCAAGGTGTGATGTATGCATCTATGTTGTTTGGTTCAGGTAACTTATTGCTTTTTACCATCGTCGTCGCTTTCGTAGGATAAAAAGACAAAAATTAATTCTTGATTGTGCTTCTCACTTCAGCTAAAAAATCACGCCACTGGAACGCTGGTGGAAACGCACTCAATGTGGAGACCGCTGGCTATGCACTGCTGACTCAGATTCAACTTGGTCGCACTGGTTATGCTGGTCCTATTGTAACTTATCTAACCAATCAGAGGAAGGGTGGTATCGGATTTGTTTCGACGCAGGTATTTTTAAATCAGTCAAAACAGAGGATTGTCGCAGTACTCGTTACTTCTCTCTAATGCCCCATTCCACGCTTAACATGTTTAATTAAACAAAAAACAGTAAGTGAAAAGTAGAACACAGCCTTTAAATGAGAATTCAAATGAACTTTAATACGTTACGCACCGTCAAACCCCGTTAATACGGACATGAGGGGGCCATAGAAAGTGTCCGCATTAAGCGGGTTGAATTTAGAGAAAATGCAAGGGCTTTCCCCAGGGACGAATAAAACTGTCGGTAATCATGAGGGACGTGACTGTATTAAGTGGATGTCCGTGACGCGGGGTTTGAATGTAATTGCAAAACTGAACAGTGTGTAATCGAAAAAAGTACAATGGGTAGCTACCTCCAAAACCCATAAGTTGTTGAATACAGTATGGTGTTCATAAGAAGGCCCACGCTTTTCAAAGATCCCCAACGTTTACTTTTAGCCTTACTTTTAATATACGCGAATTTCCCTGCAGGTCGTATGGAACTCCACTGGCCTCTAGAAAACAAAAAAAATGCTTTTCTCGCCTCCTCATGGGACGCAGTCGTTTTCAAATGATAGACCGTATTAGATGCATAATTCATTCTTATTACAGGACACAGTTGTCGCCCTACAGGCGCTTGCCTTGTACAGCGAACGCACTGCTGGAAAATCCCTTGACTTAAGGGTCAAACTGGAGTCTGAAGACGGAAAATGGAAACCAGCCGAAATACATATCACCCCTGAAAACGCCCTTCTACGGAGGCAATATGATGTAAGTTACCGGCATCGTACAAACGACTTGTCGACGGACTTAAGTAAAACTGACAACGAATGAATGGACAACAGATAATATACCATTTTACAGTTGTGGGCTTAGTACGTACAGTCTTCGGGTTAATGCGAGGCTGAGTTTGACCTTGTTTTGATGCAGACCTCATTTGTTTTCTTATGGAAATTATGCTTGACAAGTTTTCGTTTAGCATAAGAACAACATGATATACATAAGAAAGCAGGAAACGTATCAAAACAAGGTCAACTTCAGCCTCGTTTCCATCTATAACTGTAAAATGGCCTACACGCCACTTCCACATTTCCCATAATGCACCTTATTTCCCCGCCAAATTTTGCATAACCTTTGTTTTTCATTTCTCCTGGGTATTACAGCCGTCCCAAAAGAAATTGAAAACAATGCTTATGCAAAATTTTGGGGAGCAAATAAAGTGCATTATGAGAAATGTGGAAGTGGCGTATTATCAATAAACGACCGTATGACACCAGCTCATGCCAATGACATTTGGAGACTTCATAGCCAAAAACAGCACGGCTTAACTGACAGACGACCTATAACATCGCGACTTAATTGACCTATCAGGTCAATAATCAGAGTTAAAATACCATCAACTGACGTGATACAGCTCACTTTGACGCTGTAGATGGCTACCGCACAGGTTGTCAAAACGTCAGCCACTGTCAACAATACTGGTCCTTAATTCAGGACACCCAGACGAACATTACAATCCGACCATCTTATGAAATGACTCCTGGGTTCAAACCATTCACATGCATGATCAATATAAGAGAATATAGTTTTGATCCCTTTAGATAAAGAAATCTTTGTGGCAACCTTCTTCCCTACTTTCCGCTCCTTAAGGGGTTTTGCTTTCTTGAGCAAATAAGGGCTTGTGTTATTTGAACCTCTCTGGAATTACCAAATTTAAATATGAAAGAAAAACGAATAGGATTCTGCTCGAAGTTAGAAAAATGATGCTATCGTGCAAATGGCCCGTTGCACATCAAGGTGACTTATTCACAGAGCTTCCGTTTCGTGTATCCACCAAATAATTCAAAAAGAGTCTTCGTCAAATGTTGCGAGGTTAATATTGCGTTCCTGGTGACCTCGCAAGCCAACTATTTACCTGGCGGCTGTTAAAATTGGTGGCGATACTAGGGGGAGATGCCAATAGATTTGCGAATTATCATAATCGAACTGGGCAAAAGTAAAAAAAAAAGAAAGAAATAACTTACACTTTTTAACCGTCAGCGAACCCTTAGGAAAATTAGGTAATACATGTCTCACTTAGGTGATGTATAAAAGTATAACTTGTAACTGAAACTGTAACCGTAGTGTAACCTATAGTATTAGATCTATTTGCCACGAGGCGTGAAGACTGATAGGTGAATATGGGGCATAATTTACTAACAGTTGCTAAATCTGTTTTTACAGGTTACGCGTTTCCTTGATGGAAAACTGTTTGTAGATACACGAGGAACCGGAGTAGGACTCCTGGAGGTAATTAAACAATATGAATCTTCTAGTCTGGCTCTCGTTGTACACCCGTTGCAATTAAAATGCGTAAATTTTGAAAAATAAACCGTTTAAAAGTATTCCGTTCTGTAATAGTCTAGGATGTAAACTAGTTCAAACCAGATCAGCTCCCCTTCGGCAACTACCGTAAGTTTCAGCAAAATCATGGATTACAACAAAATATTAGGCGCCCTCCTCGCGAAATTTAAACACACGAAATTTAATTCCCATATAGAAAATTCAAATTACATGCAGAAAAAAAAAATTAACATGCAATAACCACAATATACAGGATAAGTATGTAATGGCCAATACACATATTAACTGGTTTTGCTGGTAAGTTACATTTTGTATCTTCTGTTGCGAAATAACGCACATTAGTTTGCAAAGATTTCCAGTTTTCGATTTTTCAGTTTCACCCTCTGGCCTTAAAAGTGAGCTTTGTAATTAATATGCGTTTTGCTTGTTCCAGTTTATCAAGAGGTAAAAAGTTCAGACTTTTTGGCCCCTAAATGAAATGAATCGCGAAATTAAATGCCCTTTTTTTCATATTTGCGTATTGAAATCGCGAAAATTAAACCACGCGAAATATTGTCCCGCCAAAATCGCAAAAAAAAAGTGCTCGCGAAATTGAGTACCAATAAGGTACCTAGGTAGGTCCATATTCACAGTGACATCTGTTTAAATCAAGGTGGATTTCCGCTACAATCTTCCTGCTTCACGCAACGAAACCTGTAATTTTGATCTGAGGAAAACAGTCACTGAAATCAAGGAAAAGGATGGTGTCAAGAAAAGGGGTGGACAATCAAGTGATGAACCACGAAAAAAGAAAGCAGGAAAGAGAAAGAAGGCAAGGGGTGGAAAGAACAAGGGGTGCAAAGGAATGAAAAGAAAAAAGTGCAACGATAAACCAGTGGAGCATGAGCCAGTTACAAGCATGAATTTGAGAGTTTGCACTCGGTAAGACTGGGAGCACCATAACAAGTTTACTAGTTTACACAAGCAAGCTTTTCTTGACAAGTTTTTCCTTGCGGACAATTTTTGCTCGTTGTAATTGCGCCTTTTGGTAGGACACAAGGCTTGCATTCAGTCATCTTCTTAGTGGGACAAAACGGCGAATAAAGGGGATGAACAGCGCTATAAGACAGCTAAGCCTGAAGCGAGCCATGTGCCCCTCCAAGGAGGCTGGTCCCAGGCACGCCACATACGCAAGGCACGTGAATTAAATGGCTTGGACAAAGTCAAAATTGACGCATGGAATTTAAGACTCCCATATTTGTAAGCGTTATTAGATATATAGCTTGTCACTTCCTCTGTGTTTTAGTCAGAACAGAACGTACAGTATAGTTAGTATAATAGCTATCTAACCGGCGAGGAAGGCGCCGAAAGGGATGGAGAGGAAGGAGAAAAGTTTTCCTGCAAGGCAGGGCCGAGTTGTTCAAAGCTGGGTTAAGATAACCCAGGGTTAGTGGGAAATTTGCATTCAGATTTGAAAGCTTAAAAAGGATTTCAGACGGTTTTAATTCTTTTTGTCTACAAGTTGATGGTTGGAAGCTCTAAAAATAACAGAGAAAATTATCCGAGAAAATGCTTTTGAACACAAGAAAAAGAAACTCGGGTTAAATTTAACCCTGGGTTAAGCGCGAATCGGCCTTCGAACAACTGGGCCCAGGCCAATTGGTACCGAAAAATTAATTAGTGCTGGTTCCGTTGAAGAAATATATTGAACCAACACAGTCAAATTGTTCTTTTCTTAGGTATCGCAAGAAAAACTACACGGGAATGTCGATAATGGATATTGGCATTTTAAGTGGGTTCAGACCAACGGAGGATTCGTTGCGAAATGTAAGTGGTTTGTTTGGTTGGTATGCTATTTTCCCTTGCTAAAAACCGGATTCACGACAGCAATTGTTATTATTACTGTTCTTCCTTTTTCGTCTAATATAATCCAAAACAATCTCATCGAAAGATCAGACTGAATACGAGGGTCTTTGATCGCTAATTGTTCTGGGTTGTTTTGCGTCTCTTTAACTTGACAAGAAAAGGATGGCAAAGAACAAGAAACAGGCGTACACGGTGTGATGTCACTTCAAGTGAGACAAGTTCTTGACTCGGCTTTTGTGCGGCGACCTCGAGCTCTCAGCAGAGCGCGGTGCTCACTGTCGTCACCATTTCGTCTCACCAGGAGCTTTCGAAACCAGGACTAAAATGTCACTAAGAATGGATTCGTGTTCTTTCAAACTTGAGCCCATATATTTAGCCTCTCTTAATTTCTCAAATGTACATGAATTTTCCTGAATTTGAGTTCTTCAGCGCTGCGGTAGCTGTCTTAAAAAAAAGAAAGGGCACTTGGAAATGTTGTTGTTGTTGTTTTGTCTAACGTTGCTCTTGATTGTTATTTTTTTAGTTGAAAGACAATTTAACTGAATTCGATAAAGTCGAGGTGTCTGATGCTTCAATGGTTGTCTACCTTAGTGAGGTAAGATATAAGATATCCCTGTTGAGTATTCAATTCTTTAATGCTGTCGAACACGAGTCACGGCCTTTGTCCCTCATTAGGCGTCGTTTATTTGGAGAAAGGTTGTCCTGCGTAGATGGGTCACCCGCTTACACCCAAGCTACCCTGGGCAAGCCATCTATTCATACATTTCCTTAAAACGTTGGAACTTCTAGAAGGGTGATTAAGGCCTAGGCCAAACGTCAAACTTAGTGAATTAAGTTCAGGAAAAGTTCAACGTCTGGCTCAGTCAAGGTCGTATGAATGAGTTTGGATCATTCTATCCCTATGCTTCAGATGGATACAACGTCTGAAGATCGTCTCCGTGACAATCGTCAATCTTTACAGGCGACGAACTAGCCTCATAAATTAAAAAAAATTGTGTGGTAATGTATATTTAGCCTTGTTCGGGAAGAAAATTTATTAAACTTGCTTTTTGGTCTGATTCAGTTGATTGGTTCGACGCGTCCTAAGTTCGACGTGTGACACAACAGACGATCATAGCTCAATTTAGGTCCACCCAAATTAGAGTTTGATTCGTCTCATGAAAAGCTCGACGTTTGGCCTAGGCTTCGCCTCGCCGGGTCCCTCACCCTTTTGTGATGGTAGAGTCATCCTCCTAACCAAGCCAACTTTTCTCTATATATACATTTGGCTCGGCCAGCCAGGTTGTTTGGTCAAGGCGAGACAATTAGAGAATGCGCCAGCGCTGTTGACTCTGGTAAAGGGGTCAACACTTTTCTTATTTAAACGCTCGCTTAAGTTGAGTCCGCTGGAAGGGCGACCCTACTGCCCGGGACAGGTTTTCTTGACTCCATATAAACGGGGCCTTTGGAACCTTAAGATCAGACAACATGCGGCGACGGCAACGAGAACGTCATGCACCTGCATCACGCAAAGGCCGTACTAAAGAGGGCGTTGGATTAAATGCTTCTGTTTTCAAAATGAAGCAAATGCATAATACAAGTGAAATAATCGTTCTTAATTAAATTATCTCAGATTCCGAATGATCGTGAACTTTGCGTGGATGTGCAGTTTGACCGGGAATATCACGTGGGTGTGGTGCAGGCGGTTCCTATAAATGTCTACGACTACTACGAACCAGGTCAGATAATTTGAATAAAAAGCTTCATTAATAAAAGTATACTGCTGAAACGTTATCATTTGTCTCTCTATGAAATGCATTGTGAATTATCAGTGCTTTCGTCGAGTGGTTAACTGCAGATCACGAACCGTCAACACCGATATGTACTACTAACTTGGAACAAACGTCGATCAGTAGTAGTTACCAGCACTTCAGTTACAAACAACTCATTGACCAATTCAACTATAATGAACAAAGAACAACAAATTTGACTAATAATACAGCGACCGACCTGCTTTTTCTCTGGGTTGGGGGCAATTGTAAATTACCCTAGTAAGTGGGGTGTGGTTTTTGTATAAAACTGCTGGCCCCACCGTGGGGCATTTACAGCTTTCCGAATCGAGATAAAGTGACAAATACCTGGGGGAATGGGCAATATCTGATTGGAACTGAGGAGGGTCGAAACGCGCTACTCGTCTTGACAGCCTTTTACACAGCTAATATTTTTACGGGTCAAGCGGTAGATGATCAATAAGGTTCCGACTTAACTGACCAGTCAGGTCCTTATAACCATAGGTTAACACAAGAGCCATAGTCCTATTATGGCTCTTGGTTAACACCATCAACACGGACGATATACTACCGTCCATTTGGCTCAGATGCCTAGGCCAAACGTAGAACTTTACCTGAGACGAACCAAACTTAGTGAGTTAAGTTCATGACAAGATCGACGTCTGGCTCTGTTAAGTTCGTCTGACTGAATTTGGATCGTCCAACACGTTCTATCGGTCTGCTTCAGACGGACAGAACGTCTGAAGATCGTCTCCGGGCGAACGTCGATCTTCAAAAGCGACGATCTAAACTCAGTAATAAATTAAAAATTTTTATGATAATGTATATTTAGCCTCGTTAGGGAGAAATATTAAAATTGTTTTTTGGTCTGAGTTCGACGTCTGACCCAACAGACGATCTTAACTTAATTCAGGTCAGTCGAACCAAATTAGAGTGTTGCCTTGTCTCGTGAAAAGTTCGACGTTTGGCCGAAGCCTCATCGTGACTACATACCGCACAGAGACTCACAGAAGTCTACACAGATTTTCGAAACGTCAGTCACTGACAACACTGCACCCCAGACACGCACCCAAACGACCATCTCTAAATCTTCTTAACCTATTTATGACATACACTTATATCATGAAGTTACATACCACGAATCAAGGTATTTTTTTTGTAAAAAATATAAATATGTGATTATGAATGCAAGTTAACGCTGCTAACCACCAATGAAAGGATTATTCAGATAAGAGTGATGTGGAAAGTAAAATTACCTGAGGCAAATATACATCATGCTTCTGAGAAGGAGGGTAAAGGATGTAATATCTTTGAACTTCAGTTCTGGCAAATCAACCTAGTCTTCAAAATTTGTATAAAAAAAATATCAGAGATTTTGCCGAACAACTTTGAGTGCTGAATGTCCTTACTACGTTTGCTTTAATTCTACTTACTTTTTTTCAGACGAGTCATGTACCGTGTTCTACGGACCGGACAAGTTCAGCCCACTGAAGATGGGAGTCTGCGATGTTGGCTCAAAGTCCTGTAAATGTACCCAAGGTATACCATGGTATACCATAAAATGCCACTTATGAGCCCCCCCCCCCCCCCCCCCCAACAAAGCCCACCCCCCCCCAAAAAACACCAAACAAAACCCCCATTCCTTTCAATTAAAATCATATATTTTTTTTTAATACTTTATCTACTATAATATTTCTACAATAAAAAAAAAGAAAAAAAAATATTTAATCATCCCCAAACAGATTGCTAATCAGTTTTCTTTTTTTGAGCCCCCCCCCCCCACCCAGTTAGAGACCCCTCAACCTCTAAACAACCCAAATATAAGCCCTCTTCAAATTTACTTAAATGATTTCGATTTATTATGAGACCTTGAAGCTTAATGAATTGAAGACCAGTAAATGCAAAAAGTATTTTGATTAGCACTACCAAAGCTTGTGTCAAAGCGCTTTTTCTATTCCGATAATAAGTCCATCCGTTTATAAGCCCTCCTAAATCCTCTTGCGAAATTATATAAGCTCGGGGATTAAAAGTGGCAGTTTACGGTATTAAGTTCGAGTCAAGGTTACCACATTTCTAGGCTCGTGCCAAAAACAACTACAACAACAACAACATCATCAAGCAAAAAAATTAAATTATTGTTTGCGTATGTGTAAGCTGGAAGGCTGGGGAAAATTATTTTAATATTATTCCAAACACATTAAAGTTTATTTGCACGCAAATTTATTTATATTCTTATTTCAGACCAATGCGCACAACACGATCCTGCGATCAGAAGCTCCGCCCAGCTAACATCCTTAGCTTGTCTAAACTACCATTACGGTGAGATCTTATAACAATGTATTTTTTAGTCGGACAGAACAATTACAGTTAATATATAAATTTAGCCAAGGCTTAAGGCGAAGCTCCCGTTAATAAAAAGACATCCACTTAAAGTTGAGCCTGCGATCAATCGATAACTAGTAACTTGCCAGCGGAGAACTTCAAGGACACGTAACCTCGATGCGTTGACACTTGAGCCCGCAATACGGTCATTTGATAATGGTCAGCGGATACTCAGTTTTGACAGCTGTCAGGTGACCACAACATGGATATGCAATACAAGGCTACAGGTTCCCACACCAGCTATAACATTTGACATTTAACGTTGGTTTCTCTGTGGTGCAGACGGACTGGCGGTCGGGCGGACATAGGGTCACGTGATAACCCAGATTTCTCAGATGGATAGATTACCACAGTTTCTTAGGTATGGGGCTCCGCTCGCGCGCACGTGGAGCTCCAATGTTACTCTGTTTGCTTCATGCTCAATGTCTTACGCCGGTGCGATATTCGCTCTGACGAAAGTTTCTTGTACACAGTGACGACAAAATTTTGCCTCTTTTGACGAAAAATCCACGAAATACTTCAATAGTAATAAAGGGTTTTCGAAAAAAGATTTAGAAAGACGACGAAGTACTTTGGGGCAAAGCATAAATATGTCGTGCATTATTGTAATAATTTGACATTATTGTTTTTATTTTGCGGCTAACTTGTTTTTTTAATTTTCTGTTACTTGGCAGCTTTTAAAGGAAAGGTTTTGCATATCAGCGAAGAAAATAGCGATCTACTGTACTATGTGAGAGTAAAGAACATTATTAAGCAAGGCAACCGAAAGCTGAAGGAAAAAGGGAGGGTCACGTTTTATAAGAGAGGAAGCTGTGCCAGCCCGGATCTTGAGGAATCAAGCCAGTATTTGTTTATGGGGAAAGATGAAAAGGCAGGCAGATACGAGCTGGACAAGACATCGTTTGTTAAACTGTGGCGCCCTGGTAGTAACAAGGACAGACGCCCTGCTAGTAACAAGGACAAACGCGTCTTAGATGAGTTTGCAAAAAACTTTAATTGCTCATAATTTCATTTTAATATCGATTCCTATCGATATGTGAATCAAATGTGAATCGCTGAATTTAAGAAATAAAAAGGTTGTATCTTGTATAAGCACACGATGATTTTTCAGTTATTAAAGAAGACGTGAACACGATTTAAGCAAGTACGTGAAACTTATGTAGGCAGGCATTGACAAGTTAAGAGCAAGGATAAAGACTAAATCCGTTGTATCAAAGGTAACACATTAGTCTAGTGGTGTTATTGCTGAATAAAGAAATCAAATCGACACCAGAAACAGTTGAGTAAAGTGATTGTAATTTTCGCTTTACGAGACCCAACTTTTACGACTCAAAGTCCCGCCATCAGTTTTCCTTTTTTCGGATGTACAAGCCGGAAACATTTTGGCAAATGTGGTTACAGTCGCTTGCTATAAGGTTACAATGAGAAAAGAGACCGTCATGACATCACGCTTGATTTTCGGCAAAAATGCGAATTTCTGTCACTTGTTTAAAACTATAAAACCCGGGGTGTTGCAGCCACCCAGGTTGTTAGAGAGGTCAGGGCGCTGGACTTGTTATTCGGATGCCCCCAGTTCACAAGTCCCGCCCTGAGCGCTAGCTGGGTTAGTTGTCGGTAGTCCCAAGTTCAAATCCTCGGCCACGCTTGTTAAATAGCCTACTGGTTCGCCTCCTACAAGTTGGGATTCTCTGTTCTACTTAAATTATTTGTTCCATTATTCCTGAAAAGCCCCACAAGTAGTTCCACAATGAGGTTTGAAATACATGTACTTAGATGTCCACGGATTTGAATAAAAAATCCCTCAGTTCCCAAAGTCGTGCCAAAATTGTGTAAAGCTTGGGGATAAAGAAGATTGAAAAAGAAGGAAAATCCATGCTTTAAGACATGTTTCGTTTGACGTTGTTGTATGATTTATTGTTCGTCTCCATCCACAAGGCCGTAGTTGCTTATTACAAATTACAACGCCAAATGAGAACGAAAAAAGTGCGCGAAAAGGACTGAACTCCACTTCCGGTACTCAGTTTGGCGCACTGCCATTGGTCAAGCCGGTTTTTAGATCTGTTCGCGCCGTTGTCACTACTGGCACGTGGTCGTTGCATTCTCTTCCCAAGAGCCACTCGGTTTAATTTGTAGCGAACGACATTACGTGACCAAAAGAAACGACCGGCCTTGGGACGGGAATGGTTGTCGTTGCTAAATCTGCCCAATGTGCTTCGATTTTAAAAACACACGTGGATAAGCTTACTTCTGGTGGTGAGCCCTCCTTACTGAGTTTAATTTTATAAAATATTTCACAGATACGGAAAGGCTCCACCATTTGAAAATTATTCTAAAAACATAAAAAATGATAATACAAATATCTTTCTAGCAAGTTAAAAGTCTGATTTTTTAACATGCGAAAAAGCCTACTTTTTAGTGGTAAAATATATTTATGTCAACACAAAAAGGAACGAAACTGTGAGTCCACTCTTTTTCACTGCTCGCTTTCTAATATACCATATATAAATCCTGTTCTTACAAAATGTATTTATAATTCTAAAGCAACACAATGTAATAACTGAATAGTTAAATTATTGAAAACAGACCGGACCGAGTTTGAATCTTATTGGCTGTTGGTTCATGGTGGAGACGTCTTTCAGCGGTAGCAATTCCTTTTTGTCGATGGCGTGCACTTGTTTCTGGCCGCGCTGAAAAAAGAAATGTAAATTTACCAGGAAATTAAGGAAGAGACCCTTCGATTCTACGACTAGGACGACAACGGGAACAAAATTTTTTTATTTCAATTCTATGTAGCACACGCGCATGATACCGCGTCATTTTGGCGGGAAAACTGACGCGATAGCCGCCGGAATAGGCCTCTTTAGCTTGTATGTTTTGTTTTCCTAAAAGAGGTCTCAGGGAACTTAACCCTTTGTCTTCTCACAATTTATGCGTAGATATCAGAGGCGTAGCCAGGATTTTTCAAAGGAGGGGGGGGGGTGGGGGGTCACAGCAGGGACACCATCCGGGGACCGCAGACTTTATATGGTTTATACCGCTGCTCTCCCTCGTGTATCAGCGGGCTCAGTCGTATTATCGCGTCATGAAGGCCCATATTAACTAAAGTCAAGAGCCGTTGACGAAAATACTTTACAAAAAAACAAATTTTAAAAAAGTGGGCTTTTCAACAATGGCTTTTACGGCCAAGATGTTATGACGTTTTCGCCACCTGAATATTGTAGGTTGTTTGCTCAAAAGAAGGCCTACCAAGGGAGGGTCACGGGCACCCCAAGACCCTCCCTAGCTACGCCCCTGGATATGCACGTGAATGAGACGAAATTTGAAAGAAACAGTTCTCTAGGGTATTATCACATAACCTGTTATTGGGAAAACAAAACAAACAAGCTAAAGAGGTCTATTCTATTAGCGAAAATGATTGTCATAGTGGCGGAAGCAAGTTATCAAATGTTACAAGTTTTATGATTTTGTGTTACGAAAAGGGCTTAACCTCCTTAAAAAGAAATAAC